TGTTCAGTTGATCCTGAACTTCGTCATCAACCTCTGTTTGGATAGAAGAGAGCAGAACTATGTCGATTACTCTAAGCAAATTGTTGTCCACTTGTCTACTACACCTGCTGGCCTGAAAGTAGTCGAGTTTCTGCTGCTACAGATCAACCCTAGATCTATGGTAAGCGAAAAACGCGAACCTTCGCCACCACCGCCTGATGCCCTGAATCTTCCATACCTGGCCGATCTTACAAAAGTCTTGCCTAGCAGCAACAAGCAGGTCTGTACCCACCCCCAATCCTTGTGTTACTGTAATGCTAACCTCAACAGTCGGGCTTTGCTTTGGGCCAGGTTTGTCTAATCTTGCTGGTAGATCTGATGGTCTCTCCTGTTGAGGTTGCAAAAGAGCACATTCCTCTACTTCTGCAAGTGGTCCTAGTCCTCTGGGATCACTATACACCTGTCGTACAGGACCAGGCTCGCGAGATGCTCGTGCACTTGATTCACGAGCTTGTCATTTCAAAGATTGAGGACGACACACCAGGCATTGACAAGAGGTCTATCGAAGACTTTGTTGAGGGTATTCGACAACGTGATAGCAAGGTTGTGTGGAGTTACGATGACGAGAACGGCAAAGCTGCGGTCGACTCAACCACAAAAGTGCCTGAACCGATGGAGTACGTTTCCGGGGAGGTGATGAGGTTCTTTTCCTTTGCCTACCCTGGGCTAAGAGAAGCATGGGGAAGAGTAGCATTGAACTGGGCAACTTCCTGCCCTGTTCGACACATTGCATGTCGATCATTTCAGCTTTTCCGTTGTATTCTGAGTTCGCTCGATCAGCAGATGCTTTCCGATATGCTGGCAAGACTTTCGAACACGATATCAGACGAGGAAAGCGACATTCAGACCTTTTCGATGGAGATACTCACAACACTGAGAACCATTATTGAGGCACTGACCCCAGAAGATCTCATCCAATATCCACAGCTCTTCTGGACGACATGCGCCTGCTTGGACACGATACATGAGGGCGAGTTCATGGAGAGCTTACTTATGCTGGACAGGTTCCTGGACAAGCTTGATCTAGGAAACGAGGATGTCCTTAGGACATTAGAACAAAGTTGCCCAGAAAAGTGGGAAGGGAAGTTTGAGGGTTTGTCCCAGCTCACGTACAAGGGCATCCGATCAAGTCTATGCCTGGATCGCTCTTTACGGATCTTGGAGCGACTGGTAGTCTTGCCTTCCAGTCGTCTTGTGGGCGACGACAGCCGACTGATGTATACCGTCCTCGGAAACTTGCCAAGGTTTTTACGTTCGTTCGATTCCTCCGTGGACAGGAGTAATACAAGAGCTACTGCTGAAGTCCTTGCCCAAGTCGCTGAGCAGCACTATCAGTTTACATCGCTTTCAGAGGCTTTGACTGCCTTTGCAATGGGAAGATATCGTCATGAAAGGGACTTTCTTGCGCAGACCATATTGGCAATACGCTCATCATTCTTTCCCGACCACGAGTTCGGCAGCTTGGTCTTCCTTCTTGGTCTTTTGATGAACAAGATTGACTGGATGAAGATTAACACAATGGAGGCCCTATGTGTCCTACTTCCGGAAATCGACATGCGCAAACCGGATATGGCATTAAAGGGTTCTGATCTCTTTTCACCACTCCTACGACTCTTGCAAAGCGCATACTGCTCGCAGGCATTGAAGGTCCTCGACTTTGTTATCAATCTCAACATGACCAGCACGCTCGCACCGTTCGACAAGCAGCATATACGTATGAGCATGGCAGGTTCGCATTCGACCAGAGGGTACAAGAAACAATTTGAAAAGACACAGTCTCTTTATGGTATTCCTGAAGAGAGTGGATGGTCGATTCCAATGCCTGCTCTGCATTCACAGTTGACGAGAGCGAATGTTCATGCTGTTTTCTATACTTGCGGCAACTTTGGCGAACTGCATGCGCCACATACGGAGACGCCCAAGGTGGAGTTCCGCCAGGAGGAATTTCCTTTCAGCCCCTTATCTGATTACCACCGAACTGCAACCATGACATCCGAAGACACCCGTGGTGATAGCCACATCGGGGAGCTGGTCATGAAATTAGACAGCCTCGACGACTTTTTTGAAGACGACGATGATGCTGAGACGCTAACTGATTTGCCCAACTTTTCATCTTTGGGACGTTCTGCAAATGGATCATACACTCACGACATGCGCGAAAATCTATACGACCAGCAGACGGCGCCCATTCTGCACAAGTCCCTGACACGTAACGCTTCAGTGACATCATTCCAATCTGGATTCATTTCTGATGTAAAACTCTCGCCAGCTCGGGATCCTGGTGTCATGACTCCGGGTGCTTTCAGCTCCTTTGCCGGCCCGGCCAATTCTGCTTTTCCCCCAGCAAACAATCCTTCACGTCCAGGCGGCCTCCATGCTCGTTCAGTAACTTCGCCATCCGCGCCAAACCAACCCCAGCGCATTTCCCCCTCGCTTTCATCTACTGCCTTGGACGAACAGAATGAGACCTTCTCCGACGACGAATATGCCACTGGCCGCTCTAATAGCACCGACAAGGCCAATGCGTTTCATCTTGACAACGTGGTCAAACCCATAGCACAGGATGCGAGGAGCCGGTTCAGGAGTGGCATGCGGAGACTTACCGGAGGGGGTGGTGACAATAAAGACAGCGCCAAGACGAGAGAAGCGATCAAACTGGCCCTGCAGAAGAGCCCTCAGGTGCCCAAGGTACCTGACATCTACCTTGTCAACCCTAAGAGTGCAGATCTTTGAGGTCTTGTATTAAGGAGACGAGGAGTCTGCTTTTTTCTCTCTTCGTGATAGCGAACTAGGGTGTGGCAAGATGTGCATGTGTGCAATGCACAAGGTACGGAAGGTTTACGGACAAAAGCTAGTACGGAACGTAATGTTTTTTGGAGCAATTTGAGTTTCGCAATGTAGAGGAAAGAGGAACGATATGCAGACTGCTGCATGCTGGTGTGCGTAGTTTATCTTCTCTCTTTCTTTTCACGTTGTAAAAGATACCTGACGCGCTTGTGTTACTCTCTCTTTCTCTCTCTCTCTCTCTCTCTCTCTCTTTCTTGTTTTTGCTTAATTGCTTGTTAGCTTGCTTGCGAGATACCATGGTGTTTGTTTCGAATAAATGATATTTAATTGTTCTCTCTCTGACGCAGCTTCGATCTCGGTGTTTTCTGCTGTGATAATTGTGATTTTGCGGGACGAAGGAATGAGAAGGTGAACAGTTTGGTCGATCATGGTTAATAGTCTCGCAGAGCGAGATCGGACTCGTCTTGAATAGAGTTCTCATATGCATAACTTTCCCCTGAGTTGTTTTCTCTGCAGTCACAGTAACGCTCTGGGCACCATGACGCGGCCGGGCGCAGAAGCGAATTGTGGCTGTTGGGGCTGGGACGGCAGGGAAGCGCTGCATTGCATGATTTGCACGAGGGGCATGAAAAGGAAAGTGCGGGGAAGCGCGTATAGTATGAGCATAAAGAGGGTTTACGCACATGATCATGTGTACTATGCTTGGCACAGTGTAACATCAGAGCATATAGGCCTGTAAGTACATAGTATCGTTCAAGGGGCGGAAGTGTCGAGTTCTTCTTGTTTTGAGGCAGATTATGTATCTTTTTCAGAGCCTGGATTGCCGAAATACAAAGTTTGGCGGCATTGTTTCGCAGTACATGTGTATATACACTTGGCAAACGATGCCCAGGCGCAAACATCGATGGTCGAGCATTTTCCACTAGTTCGTCAACACATTCTGAGACTAATGTGAAGAGGACAGTGGACAGTATTGATATAAAGTTTAATACGAAAATCATTTTCTGCATGTATTGTAAAGATCCTGTAACGCGGGGAACGCGAAACCCAAGATAATGTCGGGCTACGACAACCTTATTGCGGACTGACTTTGGGACCATTAATGCGTAGTAGCTTTCCGCAGAAAGAAGAATAGCGCGGCCGTTTTTTTTTCCTCCAAGAACGAGCGGGCTAACCGTCTGCGGAAATAAGAAAGAAATGTCAAGAAGAAGAAAAGAAAAGAAAAAGAAGGAAAGGCACGGCAAAATGAAGTGCCATGACGCGTGTCTGACAGGGCATTTGATGATCTTCAGGCAAGACCGTTGCATTGACGACCCTGGCATCCCGCTGTTGTGTGGACGCCTCCCGGCCTGAGGACATGGGCGTCCCCTACAAAGCTGACCAAAACCGTTCAACTAAGGCAGTCTCGCAGATTGCAGTGACCGAAACCGATTCATAGTGGGCGAGTGGCATATCTCGAAGCGGTAAGCTAGGGTCTATCTCGGATGTTAATTGAAACCGTGGCGCTGACAATAGTAATGAGTCCAATGCAAGGCCATGGAAGTGCGAGGCTAGCATTTCTATGGTCCAGCCGTCTGCAACGCGCTAAAGGTGAAATAGCGACTGGGCAGGGTGACAAACACAAATCGGAGCGACCACATACACACAGACCTCGCCATCGGCGGTTGGCGCTTGTACCGGGACCATTCTACATACCCCACGATGTTAGTGTGTCGCACTGTGTTGTTACTGAGTGACACTCTGAACCAGGGTGGCTGAAAATCTAGGCGCAATTCGCCGGAAACATGTCTTTGCCGAAACACCTGCTTACCGCTGTGACGAAACGCATTTTGGTGCTGACTATTCCAGGGCCCTAGCATTGTCAGATTTGTCACATGGACCACAGGACTTGCTGGCATCAGACCAATGCACTGATATTGCGTTGTTATGGGAGCCCGAGGACGTCTTACATATAATATGTGCAAGTGAAGCGACACACTTCCCATGGCCATTTGAAGACCTCTCTTTTGTTTTGTGTTTCATTTCATTTCTTTACATTTCCCCTCGTTTTGACAACGCCTGTTACATCTGCGTGCAGATAATTCAAGAAAGACTTTTTTTTTCGGAGAAAAAGAAACTCAGACTCATCCAAAGGAAAAGAAACATAATACCTACCATACACATCAAACGCCACCATGCCGACCGCAATCGAACATCTCGGCGCAAAGATTTATCTTATTCACACACCACAACTGCATCGACCGTTCCTGACCACTGTGCCCTTTATTGCTGGCGACTTTGTGTCATGGGGATATCGGGTCGACCAACATGCATCAAACTCTCCGTACATTGCTGAAATACGCGCGCGCGAGAAGAAGCAGCATGCAGACCGCAAGGGACGAGACGTGAGCCAGAGGACCAAACTGATGGAAATATGGGCGCACGAAATCATCGAAAGAAAAAAGACAGAAAGAGAAGCAAGAAGACGAAATTCAAGACGAGGAGAAGAAGAAGAAGAAGAAGAAGAAGAAGAAGAAGAAGTAGGAGGACACACAACAAATTCAGAGACAGGAAACCTATGCTTGCACACAGATGCCCGGATGAAGAAAACAGGAGACTTTGTCCAGGACTTTCTCGGCGGCATCGTCGAAGTCGGTGAGTGGCAACCCCACGTAAAAGAGAGAGAGAGAGTAAACAAATAAGGAATCGAAGTGCTGACTGGAGAGGGAAAAAAAGGGAATGAAGATAACCTGGACACACGAGCTTTGAAGAAAACACCAGAGATATTACCAGAGACATTGCGGATCCGCGACCACGTGCGCTACCTATATGCGATCCGCTACGTCCCCAACGCACCTTTGCCAGACTGGGCGCATCCAACGGTCACGTACGCCGATATGGTGGTGCTAGAGTACCGGCCGCAGAAGACGGACATGCACGACCACTTTTTGCGCGCGCTGGGCAAGGCGATAGGCAAGGACGAAGGGAGGATGGGCAAGGTGGAAACGTGCATCAAGACGGGGGCAATGCGCGTGTCGCTGTGGATTGATGTTGGCGACGTGATTGGGGAGTGGGCGACGAGCAGACAGGGAGATGTGGAGGATAGGGATCCGGTGCCCAAGTACGAGAGGGGAGAAGGGCCACCGGCGTATATTTAGAGGGGGGGGGGGATGCATTGGTGTTTGCATAATACGGGTTAAGTTTAATTCCACATATTTTTTTGGTCACAGACGTAAATGTACATGAGCAAGTAGCCAGTGTTGGATGTGGTGCTTGTTGGTAACCGCGCTTAGCTACTGGAAGGAAGAATTGCATCGAGTAGAATGAATGGATGTTGGATCAATCGGTGGCTTCTCGTACTCGTGCAATGGGGCAGGCCTGCGATCGCTCGGGCAAAATGACGGGATTCAATGCGTTGTCCCGGTTGTATTGTGGCCAGGTCCCAGGGAAGGCATTGCCCAAGGTGGGCAGCGCAGGCGTCGTCATCGCGTCAGCCCGTCGACTGCTGCAATGTCCGAAGGCGGTCGGGTGGTGGCTTGGCCGGAGCAGGCCATGGTGTGTTCGCTGGGGCTGGTGGTGGCGCGCTGGATGGAGAGAGGGCGTGTGTTCGCTGGGGGTGGAGGAGAGCGGACTTGAAGCACAGTCGCCCACACGGCGTTTCAGAGGCCCAGAATACGAACAAACACGCCCCCTAAATGTCGGCGCCAAGCCATGGCTGAGCAGTGGCGCCGCTGCAAGGCTTGCGGCCGGCCAATCACGGCGCGGGCCTGGCTGGTAGCGCAATGACGGGTGTCAGGGCGGGCGTGAATGGGTGCGGGCCCTAAGGCCAAGTGGGGCGGCGCCCTCAGCTCTCGACTATGCCCCGGTTCTTGCTATACTTACCATCTATCCTTCTCCCTCTTCTTCCTTGCCTTTTCCCACACTCTCTTTTCTGCATTCTTCGTCCTGAACCCTAGTCACTCACTTGCCATTTTTCCATATCAAACATGCGTTTCACCACTGCTCTTGTTCTTGCGGCGACTGCCGTCACCGGCGCCGTCGCCCAGGACTCCTTTGTCTTGGGTTTCAACTCGGGCGCTACCGACGACAAGGGCAACCCAAAGACTCAGGCCGACTTCGAGAAGGAGTTCAAGACCGCCCAGAACCTCAATGGCGCGCCCGGAAAGTTTAACACTATCCGTCTCTACTCCAACGTGCAGGCGGGTACCACCGATACCCCTATTGCCGCTTTCCCAGCTGCCATTGCCACAAACTCCAAGCTGCTCCTTGGTGTCTGGGCCTCGGGTACCGACAACATCGACAATGAGCTCAAGGCCCTGGCCTCCGCCGTCGAGCAGTACGGCACCAAGCTCACCGACCTCATTGTCGGCCTCTCCATCGGTAGCGAGGATCTCTACCGTGTCTCGGAGGCCGGTATCATGAGCAAGGCCGGTGTTGGCAACAACGCCGAGAATATTGTCCAGTTCATCAAGGACGCCCGTCAGAAGCTCCAGGGCACCCCCCTGAGCGGCGTCAAGATTACCCACGTCGACACCTGGACCGCCTGGGTCAACGAATCCAACAAGGCCGTCATTGACGAGATTGACTTCCTTTCCGTCAACGCCTTTCCCTTCTACGAGGTCGAGCACGCCAACGATGTCAAGAACGGCGGCAAGCTTCTGGCTAGTGCCATCGAGGCCACCGAAGGTGTTGCAGCTGGCAAGGACGTCTGGATCACCGAAACCGGTTGGGCATACACCGGTCCTGACTTTGGCGCCGCCAAGGCCACCGTTGACAACCTCGAGTACTACTGGAAGAACGTCGGTTGCGCTCTCTTCAACAAGAGGAACGTCTTCTGGTACACTCTCCGTGACGCCAACCCAGCCAACCAGGTCAAGTTTGCCATCACCGACAACCTGTCCACCACAGCCCGTTTCGACCTCACCTGCGACAAGGATGTGACCCTTCCTTCTGCCTCGGCCGGCAACACCACTCAAACCAACGGTACCTCCTCCACTGGCCACTCTTCCAGCGGCAATTCGACCAGCAGCAACTCGACCAGCAGCACTGGAAGCGGCAACGGCACCAGCACCTCTGGTGGAAGCAGCAGCGGCGGCGCCAACGGTGGCAGCAGCGGTAGCGGAAGCAGCAGCGGCGGCGCCGCCAACGGTGCCAAGCCATCATCGCCCCCTGAGAGCAACAGCGCCAGCTCCATCTCCCTTGTCAACGCCATGGCCATGGGTCTCTCCGCCGTCTTTGCCGCTGCCGCTTGGGCTTTGTAAGCGCGGTTAGCACAACGAGAATCGTTTAGATACTTGACTTCCTTTATGTTAGTACTAAAAGTAAACGGTCGCGTTCGTGGCGAGGGGAGGAGTCGTCTGCGAACACTTGTACCTGTTTGAGCGACTGGCTCGCAAGCCTATGTCTTTGTAATATATCCCTAGAAATGGAAGGCCGGTCATTGTTGTCGTCAAATTGAATGTCTTTTTTGCGGATATGTATATGTTGAATATCGTGCTCGTGGTGATGCATGATGTGTGAGAGAAGAAGGGGAGATGTCGTTGATGGCGTACTAGTAGATATAAGCCGCGCCTGTCTGCCCCACTTTGTCCAAGACGCAGGCAACATCCGCTGCCGCAACCTTATGTCTTGTCAGCACTATTGCATCGTGTGCTAAGCACCTTAGTGTCTTGTCATCAGAACTCTTGTGTTCTCTTGTCAGCGCTTGCTTACCGCAAAGCCCAGAATATCCAATTTAGTAGATTTGCACAAAGGATGTTTGCGCCTCAATCAGCTTGTCGCATATCAATCTTTTCCCTTTTCTTTTTCCTGAGTCACATTCCAGTCTCTTTCTACTGTTCTTGAAAAAAAAAAACTACTGCGAGTGCATGTTCTACTTGATGTACGAGAGCAGGACCCGCACTACAAATATCTACTTCCAAAACAGGAAGTAGATAATACTTAGCACTTACCTTTTCTGGATCATAGAATCCACTTAGCTATACTAGGCTATACTCATGCTCTATAAACCGGTTGTATACCATCTCATCACCTTTGATGACACTGTTATACATAAGCAATTGGTGGGGCTATTTACTGCCTCGCCCTCGTACATTTCCCAACTACATCCGTCATACCCGGATATTACCGCACGCCTTTCATACGAGCCAGCAATCCAGACCCATTGAAACTGCAATGGTGGATATTGAAAATAGTCACAGCATGGCATGGGATGAGGTGAGATGGAAACTTTGTTCAATTACGAGACGGAGAGGCAGGGTGCATGTATTAAGGTTGTACGCCGAAACTTTGTTTAGGGATCTGGACATGTATGGTTGAGTCTGAACGACATTATGAAAAATGTCTCGGACGCATGGTTTGTAGCTGATGTTTCATGATATGGAGATGCCGGTAGTGGAATGATGGTTTTGTGAGGTTGGGTAGAGGTAGCGTCGGTAGAGAGGGATTATCTAAGAGAACTGGTATCTTGAAAAGAATTGGAGAGGATCCATAAGCCTTGCAATCTTCTATCTTGAGGCTATCATGTATCCGCTGTTAAGGAGAAGATGCTATTTGTGTCAACCCGGCGTCAGGTCAAGCGAACATGGTAAATATACTTTGTGAGTGTATACACAGGGCTTATCATATGCAGTAGAAAGTATACGAAATCATTCACTTGGACAAAGGTTTCTTAAGTCTTGTCTATCATAAGGATAACTCTACTATTAAAAGTCTATCCAATATGATTCTTTCGCTTCCCCTTCCTCATGCTAGACTGCTTACACGGCTTCTCATCCAACCTCCTCGTAGCAGTCCATGAAAACATGCACTACGACCTCCGATTCGATTCTTACGAGCTAAGCCCCCATATCCACTCCTTAGACGTCGAGAATGCCGTCAAGCGATGACGTGCTCAGAGACCTTCACGTCAGGTACCTAGGCAAGAAAATGCTCAACACGCGAACTACAATCTTCTACCGCCCAGACCTCGACGGTATCTACAGAGACGACCGCATGCTGCGCGTGCAACCGACCGCAATGGCCAATTCGTGTGTCTCCAGCCTCAAGCCAGAGCATTTAGCGTAGGACTGCGACCTCAGTCTCATCGGCGACGCCGTCTATACCATCCATATACACGCATTACAATGACTCACTTTACATACCAAGTCACGACGTTCAAACCAATTGACAGGGGCAAAGATTTGACCATGAACTTACTCCCTTTCGTACAATTATCCCGATCCGGCAACGTAGATTTCTATTTTTGGGGCTGCCAGTCCACCCATCCTGCGCTCCCTTTAACCGAGGAAAATCATGATGTACCCACCTTACCTATTTGTCTACCAGTCTGGTATACTTAGTCTTCTTTAACTCGCAAAACACAATGCGGATATACTATAATATAAGCATGTGAGATATACAGGGTTGAAGAAGCGAAAAAAAAAAGGAAAAGGAGCCCGCCCACCCCCCTTCTCCCCCTCCAGCAAAAAAGCCTTGTATGTCACAATGTTGTCAATTTTTTTTTAAATAAATAACCCAGGGGCAACAACACCACTCAATTCAGCCCTTGCCCCCAAGTCCTTATCTCTCTCTCTCTCTCCCTCCCCCCAAACTCCTTGCATTCCGCATTACTCATCCCACGACGACCAGAAAAAAACAACCGTACCACCACCTTTTGTACGCAGGTCCCGCCTCGGACAAGAAACGCCCACGCCCTTGAAGCAAAAAAACCAAAATGTTGGACTAGAACGGGTAAGTCTGGCAGAATTAGATTGAAGAATGCAGGCTCCGATTGGTGGTTTGTCACGTGTTCGGGTGGGGGGACTCGGGGCGGTGCAGGGCGTAAGTTATCGAGATGGAAGGGGCCAATCAAGTGGGTGGGTGGGTAGGACGCCTTAATTCAAACAGGAAATGGGTGAGGCCGGTTGGGTGGTTTGGGGTGGGGAGTTGTATGGAGGATTGCAGGTGAGTGTATTGGGAGGGGTGGGAAGACAAGGGGAGGCCAAGGCAGGATTGGGAGCCGAGTTTGGGGTTGTTTTGAGTTGGAAGGATCCGTGGTGCTATGTGTGTGTGCGTGTTGCCTTTTGAGAGGCGTAGTTCGCTCTTTTCTTGGGGGGTTTCCCTCTTCTTCTTTTTTTCCATCTACATTCCTTTGCCATTTTGAAAGTGTTTTGTTGAGTTGGAGACGTGTTCGCTGGATAACAATCATTTTACGAATCTGGATAGATATACATACATCTCTCCTTGATACGGTCGCTACGCCCACATTCAACAGCCATGGCACGACTACTACGAACAACTACCTCAACGCCACTCTTCATCCTCAGCATGCTCCCCTATGCCACCGCTGCGCCCCTTATCAAGCGCGAAGAGGGATACGTTCTTCCAAAGCCCGTCATCATCCTGCTTATTATTATCGGAGCTGGATTGCTTGTGTGTGTGGGGTTTGCGATACACAGTTCCTTTGGATTCCGGCCGAGTGGAAACGGCATGAAGAATATGGGAGCGGAGCAGATGGAATACATGACGGAGGTGCGTGGGCGAAACTTGGCAGGCATGATGGCTCAAGGACAGCGGAGTCAGATGGAGGCGCCCGGGCCTAGGGGAATGAGGAGGGGGGAGAGTGTGTACGATTAGGGGCGCGATGGGGGACAGCAGTGGAGCAAGTGGAGGGCAATATTCGTGTTGGATTGAGCATTTTAAACTGGGTACATTGGGTTCTCGTAAATCCTCACTATTTCAGTTTCCCATACTGGATTTAGTACTGGGACAGATGACGTTTTTGATGGCATGATTGTTTTTTGGCTGGTTATTATGGGTGTAAACTTATCTTTACTACTTGTGCTTCTGCACTGCATATGATATGGGAACAGGCAATGCTTGTGATAGATGTGATTGTTTGGAACTGGCTACAATGAATGCATGTATTTGTGAGTCACTTGCCCTCATCTATAGGAACCGATACTGGTGCAGGAAGTATCAATGAAGGATACAGCGACGAGAAGACTGCAGTTTGTGTGTACATGTGTGTATGTGTGTCTATACGCTTCTATTACTTACCATCATACACTGTATTTGGTATTAGAATATGTAGAGTAGTTAAGCTTAATAATGCAATTCAGAAGACAAAAGGGTTGAATATTCTGTAAAGGTCCAGCAGATCTCGTACGTAAGTCTTATCTAAATAGTTGAAAATAGAATTTACCGAAACCTTCCTTTGTACCTATCCATGTTGCGAATATTTGGCAGGTTGAGCTAGACCCGTGTTCAAGCTCCTTCACCATCAACATCTGGATTCGAGACCACCTAGCTCCTTGGCTGAATAAGCTTGACTGCGACAAATCGGGTAGTATTGTGACTGAATATGCTGAGTATGATGAGTTCATATGTTTTCATTCGGCCTTCAGCGTCATGTTGCTTACTGACAGTGCCTCTTCTGATGCACGATGCAAGATACAACATACATATTGGAAATAAAAAAGTTATCCATGTAATTCGCTTGTATTGGTAAAAAAAAATTCATAGATGTTTCCCATCCCAGCATGAATCGTAACAAGTGAGTACAAACAGTTACTACATTCTGACTCAAAAGGTCCACGTAGTTTGCTATGCTACTACCACTTTGATTCACGAATCAGGTTTCTACACCTGGCAACCAGAAATAGGCAGTATTTGCAAAAAAGTGTCGATTATAGTGGAACCCATGCAACATGTCCCCCCCCCTACTTGCAATCCTACCGTATATTATCCGACACTAGGAACAAGCATTAATCGGCGAACATTCCAAGCATCCCAACCAATCTACAATGAAATCCTCCGCATCTTGGTCTATCATGCCGTTCAATCCCCATATCCCTTCACCGTCATTACACCAAACAACTCTGTTTAAAACACCAGACCAAATGTAGTTTAGCAAGAAAGAAAACGCATGCACACACACACAGACAGATACACAGCTGACCACGTACATGTATCTACACCGCTGGCTTACAATCTTCTCATCAAAGGAACAACAACCCAAAACAAACCAAAAAAAGAAAAGCCAGGCCAGGTCGGCGACGTCAGAGGCAAAGAAGAGGGCTCGATTTACGCCACAGGAGTGGTATTGGGTAGAGAAGGGATGAGAAGATGCAGGTGGATCCCTGTACATGTGTTTAATGCACCCGGCGAGAGAGAGAGGGAGCAGGAAAAGATGGCTGATTAAGCTAGGCCGGAGAAGGGCCAGGCGTTAAGGGCAGTTTGTTGTTAGTGGGATGCCTGACAGGCCCAAGTGCCGAGACAGTTGGCTGGAAGTAGCTGAACTAGCTAGGGGCTTGGACGGAGAATTTCGGGATCTGGGGCTGAAGATGCAGGACGTAGGCGTTCCAGAAGGCGAGGGCGAATGGGTCAGTGCGGTTAGATGCATGTTTGAATATACGGGTTTATGTCACTGACATGGCATGGGTTGGCCTGGGGGGATGAGATTATGGCTGTCATGGTACGTAATGTCACAAAGGCTGATGATGTCAAGTCAAAAGTTTAATGTGCTTGTCAAACGGTCGATGATAGTTGACCAGAGGAAAAAAAACAAACAGGCAAAAGCATTGGAATTTGGTTCAAGCAACTGCAAAAATAAAAAGAGCAAACAGGCATCATAGTCAGCATGGTAAATGGCAGAGGGATCAAGTAGCTTCTGCAGCTGAAGAGGGCCCCTCGTTGACGCCCATAGCTCTGAGCTTGGCTTCGACAGCTGCGACCACGTGGGCATCAAAGTGGTCCGTCTTTTTTGCTTTCTTGACACTGCGTCGTGTTAGCAAAATGATGACGAAGTTGTTTGAAGAGGGAACAGGGGGTACATACGGAGATCTGGTACATTGATCGCAGCGTTCGTGTCCGCAGCCTGGACACTGAGGGGAATGATTTTGGAAGAGACTGTTGCACTTTTCACACTGCCAGCGAACCCTGGTTCTGGGTTTTCGCCATGTGCGCCTAAACGTCTCGAGTTGCCTGTCGACCTCTGTTTCGCTGTCTGCCTCGGCGTCGCCGGGGTATCCGGCGGGCCATTTGGTGAGCTTTGCGGGCTCGCGGGGGCACGTTGTGCATCTGGCATGGTGGCAGTTTTGACAGATGACTGCCTGGGCGGGAACAAAGACGGTGGAGCACTTGTGGCAGGTGCGCCTGATGCGCTGCTTGGTAGGCTGGTAGACGAGTTCGTCTCCAGCGCGGGTGCGGATGCTGAGCATGCGCTTTCTCTTTGGCTGGTCGGGGGCGTCCTTTTCGGCCTGCTTCTCCTCGGGCGTCTTCTTCTTGGGAAAGCGAGGGCACTTCTTGCAGCGCCTGTGCTCGCACTGGACACAGGTCCTGTCGGCGCCATAGAGGGTGCCGCAGCGGTGGCAGGTGCGGTGGACACGCATGCGAATGGGCTTCTCGACACGCTGCAGAGGAGGCATGGGGCCCGGTGCGGCAATCCACTCATGAGACTCGAGGGTGAGGCCATACTTTGCAAAGAGAGCGCGGGCACGCTCCTGCTGCATGGCGTTGCGGTCCAAGGACTTTGCGGCGGGGGCGGGGCTGTCGGGTGGTTAGTGGTGCTGGTGCACAAGCCGATTGGGAGACTCACGTGGCGGGGATGGTGGAGTCGTTTGTGCCTTCATTGTCGACGGACGGATTCTCTTGCTGTTGCTGTTGGGGAGGTGGCGATGCGGGCGAGGGTTGCTGCTCCTGCTGTTGTGGCTGAGGTGGTGGTTGTGGTTGTTGCTGGGGTGCAGCAGCAGCAGCAGAAGAAGAAGGAGCGTCCGGGGCTGGGGCAGGCGGTTGCGACTTGGAGGCGCGGTCCCTCTTGAAGACGGTGCTCATTCTCTTGACATATTTGCCCAGGCCCGACTTGGCCTTGTTGTGGGCCGGAGGGTTGGGCGGCGCCGACATGGCTGGCGGTGGTGAGGGCGATGGTGTTTGGTGGTGGTGGTGGTGGTGGTGGTGGTGGTGGTGGTGTGCAGTTGAGCAGCAGAGAGCGGAGGGTGCAAGGCCGAGGTCGTGTCCAGATCCCTGGAGTCTGGCCGCTGGGCCAACTGGTCGGGAGGGACACCGAAGGCTTGGTAGGCGAACCCCACTGGCGCCCGCAGCCAATACACAGACTACTCGCACGCTGGCTGCGGTGCTGGCGAGACGGGCGGATGGGCCGGTGGCTTGGGACGGCAGGCGTTGCAGTGCTGTCGTGATGCGCGCCGTGGTGCATGTATATGTATGTATGCCCCATGCGGCGCCGCCATTGCCAGCAGGCCATGGAGGGCAAGCCTGGTGGCAGCGGCTGTGCAATGGGCAATGGGCTGTTGGCCGTCTCCCGGCCTGCTGGGATCGACCCGAACTACTCGCAAGCGGCCCGTTGGTGGCCAAGGCACCGCTCCCTGCTCGGCTGACTGCGGCGACGGGCTTTTCCCCTATCACCATGTCCATGTCTTGTCTAAGCACCTGTACGCCAGCGCAAAACAAGACGCCTGCCCGCGTCCCCGGCCAAGTACTCACAAGCCTGCGTCTGCCTGTGGGGATGCATGTTCCACACCGTGCTGTATGTAGTAGCATTGCTATATCCCGCCCATGTGCACATAGCACACATGGCAGTACGGGCATATATTGCCCCAGGTGCACCGTCACATCGCTTGCCCGCCTGCCCGCTGCCCTCTGCCCGCTGCCCTCTGCCCGCTGCACCCTCAGACCCCCAGCGGCCAGGTCGTCCAAGGCCAATAGCTGCCCACCCACTCACTGCTCTACACATAGTACGTGACTAAGCAGAGACGCATACACATCGATATACCGCCGACAGAGTGGCCGTCAGCCTGGTGGCTTGGGCCGGCTGCACTGCTCCCCGTGAGCTGGGTCGCGGGCTGGTGCAATGGCAATCAATGCCATGGCCGCTGCTTCCGCCCAGCTGGACTCGTCGCGCCCGCCCGGGCCTTCTTTTCGCCTCACCCACCACCATTCGATCCCAATACCCCAGCATTCCGCTCACGCCAACACCATGACTCCATCTAACACATCGGTGCCACGCTTGCCTATGCCACAATCACATGTCTGCTTGAATCCCATCAGCACTAACCACGCAGCCCGCCATACTGTAGTCATCACCACCGTCATCTCCGTCTCCATACCTTGCATCCCCTGCCTCCACCATCTCTCGTAGCTTCCAAAAACCACAATACAAACTTCCATGCCGCCCGCTACAGCATATACCTGCCGAATCAGACACCTCGCTTAACTCCCCCCCCTCGCAGCCCGCGCCCGTTTCCCACTGCCGAAAACGTACCACTGTTGCGACATGCTCAATACTCTACCACCCCCAATCCCTGCTGCCCTTCAAACTCGGCCCATACTTATCTCTCCGACCCCATTCACATTTCCTCTTCAGTCCAATCGCTGCTTCTGTCTTGATGACCAGCCTCGAGAACAAGCAAAAGCATAATAAAACAAATACAAAGGATAAGCCTTGCTTACCACTACACATATGCCGAGACGCAGGGTCACAAATAATAAAAAAAAAACAGTATCCCGATGCAACGGTCCGACTCCCTCGTCTCCAACTTCCCTCGCTCTCATATTTTATTTCTTTTTTGCTTTGCCCAAACACATCCATCATTACCTTTCTCCATAGCACATGCTTGCCTCTTACATGTTAATGCAAACCCCCCCCTCCCCTAATTGGGCATCCTTAATGGGAGGGGGGGTTTTTCTGCTCGAGCCGAATTTCTCAAATCGGGCACCAACCAGACAAGGGCAAAGAGGCTAGAACGTCACACTAGCATCCCATAGTAGGTAGCGCCCGCGCCCGCGCCTGCGCACACACTTTGTCTCTCCTTCCCCTCGCACTTTCCCCCCACTGGTGTTTGACTCGATGCTCGAGTTTGCCACCCAGGTGGAGCACTTCCCCCCCCTTATGCTTGTATAATACATGGCTTCATGTTATAAGATTGCGTCGGCATCCCCAAACGGCATATCAGCGCGACTAAGGGACACACGTTCGAGGGGATTTGCTGTCGTATCTTTTTTGATAGCTAGTTAGAGATTAAGCTTGTGCAAAAAACTAGAGAGAGAGCCGAGATTGGGATCTACTACATGTTAATACGGAAAGAAGAAGAGGTTTGACAGCCAACACTTCACTAGACATGTGTGCACGGCAAATACTAGACAGGAGAGTCTCTTATGTGTAGACTACAATGCAACGCTAAATAACTACATGATCCATCGCAGCGCCATACGCCCCCCTTCCTTAACCAACCAGGTAAACAAACAAACAGACAACCATTCTCCCTCTGTTCCTCCACAGATGCCTTGTTCTTGCTTTCTGATGCAATACTCTTACTTACGCCTTCTCCCCCCCCCCATACTATACTTACAATCTGCTCTCATGTACCCCATCAACTACAACCTACTCTCCCATCCCCTCGCCCCTTCACCCTCCCACCTCTCTGGCCACACCTTGCCCAGCGCCTCCCAGATGTGTCCCACAAACTCAATCTTGAGTCCGCGTACAACCTCTTCGGGCAACTCGCTGGCATCCTTTCGATTGCCCTCCGGCAGCAGCACTCGCTCTACGCCCGCGCCCAAAGCCCCAATCAGCTTCTCCTTGATGCCTCCCACGGGGAGAACCCGGCCACGCAGCGAAATCTCGCCCGTCATGGCCAGTGTCGGCGGCACAGGCTGATTGCTAAAGAGCGAAATAAGACCAATGGTATGCGCAAGTCCGGCAGACGGGCCGTCTTTGGGAATCGCCCCGCTGGGACAATGCACGTGGATGCTGCGATTCTTCATAATGTCCTCGTCATGCGTGGTGCTGAGCCCCAGGTCGAACGCGTGCGCCTTGACCCACGTCAGGGCAACTTCTACGCTTTCCTTGAGCACGTCGCCCAGCTTGCCCGTCAGCTGCACCCGTCCTTGGCCCGGCATGTCTGCAATCTCGATGAACAAGATGGATCCTTGACCGCCGGTTGAGTAGGCTACCAAGCCTGTGATTACTCCCGGTCGTGCAGACTGCTCAGTCACTTCTTGGGCAAACTTTTCAATTCCCAGCGTTGCCTCGACGTCTTCTACAGTCACCACGGGAGAGTATGCAGCTACTGTGTTTGTGTCTTTGGCTGTTGCATACTCGACCGCTTTGGCTCGGCAGACTGATCCAATCTCGCGCTCCAGATTACGCACGCCAGACTCCCGAGTGTACGATGTAATGATCTTGTCAAGCACCTCGGTCGGTATCTGAACGTGCTCCGTCTGCAGCCCATTCGACGTAATCTGCTTTGGTATCAGATGCCTCGACGCAATGTGCCGTTTCTCAAGCGTCGTGTACCCCGATAGCTGGATAGTCTCCATGCGGTCCAAAAGCGGAGGTGGAATCGTGTCCAGCGAATTGGCCGTGGCAATGAAGAGAACCTTGGACAGATCAATGGGGATATTCACATAGTGATCCGTGAATGTGTGGTTCTGCTCCGGGTCCAGCACCTCGAGCATCGCCGCGCCAGGGTCGCCATTGTGATTCGACATGCCAAGCTTGTCAATCTCATCCAGCAGGAAGACGGGATTTGCCACTCCCACCTTCTTCAGTCCGTTAACAATAAGCCCGGGCATGGCTGCGACATATGTCCGCCGATGGCCTCGGATCTCGGCTTCGTCACGAACACCACCGAGCGAAATGCGGTGGAACTTGCGCCCGAGTGCAGTCGCAACAGATTTGGCTAGCGATGTCTTTCCTACACCAGGCGGGCCCACCAGAAGCATAATGGGCGACTTGTCAACCATGCGCTTCTTTTCCAGGAGCCGCACTTCGGTCTCGGAAGGCTCCTTTGCTACCTTGTGTGGAACCACCCGTTGCTTGGCCTCGCCCTCGACGTCCGCATTAGGGGCTTCGGTCAAGGACCGGATCTGATCATCAATGCTCTTGTTTGCCTGCTCCTTGAGCTTGAGCACGGCGAGATACTCGAGCAGTCTCTTCTTAATCTTTTCCAGGCCGTAGTGGTCATTGTCCAGCTGCTTCTTTGCCCGCACCAGTGTGTTGGAATCCAGCTGATCAACCGTCATCTTGCTCCATGGAATCTCTGCAAGGTTCTCCAGGTAATTCCGGCACACCTGATACTCGGCCTGCGCTGGATTCATCTTCTGTAATCTTGCCAACTCACGTTGTGCCACTTTATTAGCCTCTGCTGAAAGCTTCGCGTCCTCGAGCCTCTTCTTCAGTTCATCAATCTCGTTCGGCTCATCTTCGCCCGCCTGCTGCTGTCCTCCTCCAGGAAAACCGGCGGGGAAGCCAGGGGGCATACCACCCATCTTGCTCCGCCTCTTGAGAGCCTCTTGTTGTAGCTTCCGTAGTGTATCCATGTCCAATGTGCCGTTAGATGATTGCGTAGTCGCAACGGTCATGCGCGTGTTGCCTTGGATGTTGCTAATCTGCCGTTGCAGTATCTCAATGACCCGGTCAACCCTCTCCTTGACATCCACAGACGCCAGTACGCGCAAGGTCTCTTCGTGTGTGGTATCCACCACATTGGCCATGAAGTCGGCGAGCAAGCCGGCATCCGACAGGTCCTTTCGTGTGATGAACATTTCCAGTCTCCGTGCAACAATAGGCGAAAGCGTAACTTGTGGTGTGCGTGGTAGTATGGCGGATAGTCGGACTAGGGCGAGTAGCTCGCGTGACAACTGCTTGAGGAGGTTGAACTGGTTCAGGAGGTCTGCACTTGCAATGTCGACTGGAAGTTGTTAGCTTGTCACACATACACGAGTAAAGATGGAGAGAGGTAGAACATACTGTATTCCTCAACGGCCGCCAGCTCGCCCTCAAAGTACGGCCTCTCTTGCACCACATCAACAACCTGGACTCGTTCGAGTCCCTCGACAATCAAGCTCAAGTCACCCTGCTTGCGACCCTGCACCCCGCTGACTTTTGCCACACAGGCATACCCAAAGATATCCTTCTTAGTCGCCAGTATGGGGTCACTCTCATAGTGCGTCTTGTCGCGCGCATGTCCATCTTCAATCAACAAGTTGCCATCCGGGCCCAGTGTATTCGACTTCAGCGGCACACACGCGACCGTGATGGCGGCATCAGGCTTAGCCGTCGGACTGATACTGTATATCTTTGCGAGAATAGCAGCGACATCGGAACGATTGGTAATGGGTATCTTGAGCGTTGTACCGGGGAGCACGGCGAGGGGCGGCGCAAGCGGGATGAGCGGGAGCACCGTTGTGCTCGTCTTGGATGAGCCCTTGCCCATCATGACGTTGTTAAGGCAATGGCGGCAAGCTGAAACTACGAGTTCGAAGGACGAGAATGGAGAGGGAAGGGGGAAAAGGAAAATCGGGACGGGACCAAAACCGACAATAGCGGTCGTTTGGTTCGCGTTGGTGATGTGCAGAGTTGGTACCGCCGGGATCAGTGGCGGGAGGGTGCGGACTCCCCTAAGAGCAGATCAAGGAGCAACCCAGCTGAACGGTGCAGCGCGATGCAGAAGGCTTGGATGGATGCGCGCGAAATGTATAGTAAACAAGAAACAAAAAAGCAATTCTTGTTGACACGAAGATAATGGCCCTTTTGCCACGATAAGCGTCGTCACATAAATTGAAGACGGAGGCCACGATGGTGACTTCCAGAAGATACTCTCTCTCTTGTGTTGATCCCGCCGCTCTTGTGCGCATCTCGTCGCGCGGCATCATCACGGACCCTCCTCCTCCCTCTCCTCCCTCGCTCACTCGCTCGTTCTCCCCTCCCCCCTCAGGCCGAGGTTAAACGTGCCGACGACGAATCACACGTCAGGCGCGTCGCCCAGACTCTTCCCATCTGATAAGATGACCTCCGCACCTCCGTCCCACATTTTGGGTCCCCATAGCAGCATCCAACACGTGAACACGCATCTTTTGCCATGGTACTCCGTGATCGGATGCAGAGATCCGCTCTTTTTTTTTTCCCCTTACTTCTTCTTTACCTTGTCTTCATGGACCGGCAAACCCAAAGAGGAATATCTTATACGCTTTTTGTGGCACACAGCGTTATATCCGCCACATGGACTCAAATCACTCATGCAACATGTTCCATGTACCACAGCCTTGCTAGGATGACAAAAAGCTCTTTCTATTCTATTTCTGGTTTAAAGAAATTCGTGTGTGTGCGCATCCAATCCTCTCTGAGGTAGCATTTCTTACCTACCGGCATACCAACACGCACACACACACCCTCAACCCCGCTGCAAATGCTTTCAAGAACTAAATCGTTGCTTCAATGCATTCCGTTTTCTAACCCATCATGACAAGTCAGACACATCCAGAACGATCAAGTATCGTACATTTCCCATGACGTTTTCTGCCCATCCTTTTTCCCAACCAAGCACCTCTCTCCTCCAAAAAAATACATCATTGCCACAGAGATAACAAAGAAATCGGGCCAAGCCCATCGTTACACTGCAGCGCCATTCTCACCACCCTACTACTTCTCATGTTGGTGTGTTTCTGCCGTGAGTGGCAGTCATGCTGTAAGGGGCCTAACAATGAATCACGTTAGCCATGCTCATCAGATGATCACAACACGCAAGTGGCTCACCAAGACTTTCTTCGCATTGCAGATGCGCCAGGCAAGGTTCCTAACTGTGCCATCCGCTTGTACAACCTCAGGTGCGAACTCGATACCGAACCTGGCCATCATTAGTCCCTTGTCTTTATGAAAGCTAAGCAACAACCATCCACTTACATCTGGTGTACCGCAAACACCACGCGCTTAGCAAATTTACCATGGCGCTCGACCCGGCTGCCAAAAGGCTCCTCGGGCGTCGAAGGCGCAATCTCTGGGTCGCGGTCAAAGCAGTTCTGGATAATGGGAAGAAGCGCCGCTTCCACGGCCCGATGCGTCGTTCCATTCTCGTCCACCTCCACGTCTTCCTCGTCAAACTTTGGAATCTGAATCTCAAAGGCCTGCGAGAGTGCCATGACGTGGTGTCCACCGTCGTGATGATACCTAAACTCAAACACACCAGTGGTCCACCAAAGCTTGTCTCCGCGGAACTCGACTTCGCCAGTGTAGCAGTCGGATGCTTCTTCTTCATCAGCAGCGTTTGCAGCTTGTAGCTTGTCCGAGACTAGTATGCCATCATCGGCACGAACAGAGTCAAACATGTCCCTGTTGGTGGCAACCCATCGTCCATTCGAGCTAATGTGTGTAACCTCGCGAGACTGATTGTCGGCAACCATGTATAGACCAATCCAGTCCCTCTTGCTGTGATTGAGAGGCGCCTGCCAACGAACCTTGATGGGCGCACCGTATTCCAGTGCCAGTGTCTTGAAGTCATTCGTCCGTACCGCCGGAATCCTGGCAAGCTCGCCTTCGCGGCCGCCATTCCTCTGCTTTTCAACAGTCGCCGGTAACAAGGTTCCTTCAACCTCTAGCTTGTATTGCTTGGGGTCCAAACCAGACATGTCTTGTGAAGCCCCTCTGATAGTCATCCGCCTCGGAGAGATGTTGAAGAGGCCCGTCACGCCCTGGGCAAATGTACTGAATTTAGCCGCAATCTTTGGTCTTGTATCGTCCAAGAATTTTTCAATCTTTTCCATAATCGAGTTGATGTACCGGTCGGCTGCCGACTGCCACTGGCGGACTGGGTCAGGCAACGCTTGACGCACAGTCTTGCTGACACCTGACATTTCGCGGAGATTGCGGCCGTACAACTAAGAAGATAGAGTTAGCAAGTCATGTAGACTGGATGTACTCAGATACACTCCACATAGTTTCTCCGTCCAGGCCGATGTCGGGAAGGTACCAACGACTCAATGTGATGTGTGTAACACGAGTTCTCAACTTACCTTGATCACATGTGGTTTCTCTACGAATTGCAGGAACGCGAGGTTTAGAACGTGGGCTGTTGTAGCGAGATAGAAGACTGCAGGGCTCCATGTTATGATGGCTACACCCCAGACACCGGCGAGCCCAAGAACCCGCTCTGGATTGTTTAGGAAGCGGTAGATGCCACTGTAAGTAAGCGATTTCGAAGGCGGGTCGAAGAAGAAGTCGCCACAGAACCATCCAAATTCTCCAAGCGATTCGTAGATGCTCATAGCAACCCACAACTGAAGGGCGATCATGGCCGCACCAAGAACGTGGCGAAAGAGCGCAAGTCCACTCAAGCCTTCAGGAGGAAGGCTGTACATCTTCCAGGCGAGTGCGACAAAGCTTGCGTGACTCATGGTCATGCTCATGTGGTAGAGGGACTTCCACTGGCGCCAGGCCTCTTCTTTGGTATCGCCATACTTGATAAAATGCTTGGTCCAGTTCTTCTTCTTGGACTGTCGGTCCAGGATGTAGCCTAAACCCAATGCGTACCATAGCCGCCATCCGAAAGCATTGACGAAGAGGAATGCTTTCACCGTCCAAGTGTTGGGAGTCAGCACCGCCAAGCATATCATATAGAACGAAAGCAGTACTACCGTGACATCGATGGAACGATGGAAATCTGTGTTCAAAGGTCCTACAATGTGGTGCGTAGGGGCAGGTTGCTTAGAAGGGTCATGGACAGTGTCGCCGAATCCGAGTTCGGATTGACCAATCTTGGAGTGGTCTTCGTGAGCAGCCTCCCCAGAAATTTGGCGCGTGCGGCGGGGAGGAGCTGGGTTGTACGTCGCTTCAATATGGGGCTCCTCTACGATGGACAAGAAAGCAAATTGGGCAGCATGGGCGATGATGGAGATTGCTAGGACTTTGTAGCTTGCCGTCATTAGGGCAATACCATAGTATCCGGCATACCCAATCGAGTACATGGGGCTGTGTGCAGGGGTACCGCGTTAGTATATCTTTGGTTCAACGACGCAACAGAGGGTCTTACTGCGGTGCCATCTCGAAAACGCCATCGAATGTCAGGCTTTGGTCAATGAGGTAGAAAAAGTCACCCCAGTACCATGCAAAGTCCTTGACAACTCGGTGCGCATCAAGCTTGACCCAAAGGTTGAAAAGAAAGAGGACGACGCCCGTCGTCCATCGCAAACCCCACAGGAACCAGCTCTCCTGGGGTCGGTTGAAGCAGGCGACGGCGAATAGGCAGTATGACACGAAATCACACATCAGAATCAGGTCTACCACACGTCTAAACACGAGCCATGTGTTGTACTCAAGCGGCGCTTCTTCAAACTTGTAATCCTCTGGGATCTTGATCTCTAGCTCACGCTTGAGAAGTTTGTATAGGGCCGGGTGTGGGTTTTTGCCTGTTTCGGGATTCTCAAAGATGTGGCTCTGCTTCGCCCACAAGACGAGGCGGTTGTGCTTGGACTGGCCGTCGAGCAGCCAACCAATGCCTGCATTGTAGCCGGCGCGCCAGAAGAGGAAGACTATTGCGAATATGGGAATACGGGCGCTTTTGGGCAGTACAAAGAAGGTCAAAATCATGGAAGCGAGCACACCAAGGACTGCTAAATCCGACAAGTTTTTAGGTTGTGAAGGCGAGAGAAGTTGTGAGACCATGTCGTGGGTCTGGGGAACAACGAAAACTGCATTGAAAGCGTCAGTACTGAAGAGCAACTTTGCAAAGAGTGGAGGGTTCCTCGTGCATGCAAGATGATTGCCGTTTTCTCTGGTCATCCTCAGCGACGCGAGACATACCTGTACCATCTGGAGTCCTTCCATAGGTTCGCTTTTTGCTGGCGTCACCTTTGTGCTTTTTATTTTCTTCGTTGTTCAACTGCAGAACCTTTTGCTTAGCATCCTCTGCATTGTTGAGATGTAGTGGTTTGGCGTTTGGCCGCTCTCGCAGCTGGCTACCGTCGGCCATGGGCCCGTTGCTAATATCAGCCATATTGGCTGTGGCGCGAGCAACTGGATAGGAAGCAGGTTGCCTGGAGACTAGATGGGTGAGGGGTTCTCCTGACTGATATCACAGCGACAGCCAAGGCTTGAGTGCTGGGTGAACTGCCGTGTTCAAGTGACTGTCCGGCACTGCAGGGCGATGGAGCTGAATGCGCCGGCGCGGCTGTAGATTCCGATTTGTCTCTGTGTGGCCGCAAATCTCGCTTCTTGGATGCGGACCAACGAGAAGGCTCAGAGTGTTGAACTCTAGCTAGCGTGTGAATGTTGAACGTGGGATGGGAAGGGAACAAGGTCGTGGGCAGTGCAGTTTGTGTGCATCGACCGCGCGAAGGAAGCGTGGGTTAGCGGCACGTCACTGTGTGGGGCTCTAGCATAAGCCGACTTGGCCCGAACTGGTAGTCATGGGCCGAACTGCCGTTCAGCACACCGCAGTAGCACGTGAAATGAATATTACCAGCAGTACACACGCGTCTTTTTGCAGTCTTTTTTGGAGACAAATCTGAATACGAGACTGTTTTATTGGAATGATTTCCATCGTACTGCAGCTGTGCTGGCTGGTGAAAAATAAACGCCTCCCCCACTGCAGTGTCGCACTAAGAAGCCCAGGGAACATGGGGACAGTGATCGAACGCAAAAGAAGAATTTTGATTGAAAGATGGCATTGGATGCGCCAATAAAAGAGCCACTATTCCTTGTATGCATGTATGCATGGGAAGTGGGGTAATATACAGTATCCACCTGTCGTGCCGTAATATCTACCCATCACACAGAGTTCACCCTGCTTCTCTTAAGCCTGCCAGCATTGCCTGCCTCCACGTCTAGGCTTTGCTGCCGCAGAGCTCTGTTGTCCCAAGACTGCCTCCTAGCTTCCTCAGCACTTCTCTCAAACGAGTTTTCCCGATTTGATTGTGCAGTGACAAATTTGGTGAGGCGGCATACATCCATGCTACTACCTGATCCTATGCTTTCCAACGTCGTTGCTGCTAGTGATGATGAAATATGCAATTCAGCGAACTGTTGGCCCAACTGCACATTCTGATCCTTGAAGGCGTTTTGCGGTTCAAAGACAGCAGCCTCAGGGCTGAACACAAACCGCTTTGATCTACAGGCCATGGGCAAAGGCCACGTAGCGCCTGTCTGTACCACATACTGCGCACAGAATGTGCTTTTGGTGCTCGCTAAATCGAAGCCATCAGAACCTAAATGGTCATTTGGTGCGATATCGTCAACAAACGAAGAGTTGCTGCAATCCTTTTGAAACGGAGATGATGCCCTCTTGTTCGCCCGACCGTTCCACTGCCCATCTCCGGCCTCTGTATCTTCTGGGTATGAACATAGCGTAGAGTCTGAGGCAAGGTCCGGTATCGTTGATGAGACTGTTGTAGACGGCGACGAAACCGTCTCGGCGAGATAGATGTTTGCTTTGCAAACTTGGAGATTGTTGAGGAGAGCTTGTTCATCACGCTCTCGATTTTGGATTTCTTTCTCCAGCTCACGCATGCTTTGTCGGATCTTTTTCTTTTTCCTAACAGGCAAGGACGAGTCGGCAGCAAGCCGCCGTTCATTCCGAGCTTGCTTCTTCCGTAGCGCCTGCAAATAGGTAACGCAGTTGGCAAGTCCGTTTTCCAACAAGTCCTTTTCAAGCTCCAGTCTCGACACCTGGGCGGAAATGGGAAAGGTGTCCTCAATGGGTAAGAAGTAGCTACTATGCGTGGTGGAGGCCATCCAAGGCTGGCATAGATTGGTATAACACCTCATGACGAAAGGCATGGACAGGGTATCGGTGTGAAAGCTTTTACGGTGTCTCAAGAGGATGCATCGCGAGTCGAAAACGAGGTTATTGTATGGCTATGTCTAGCACAGGAAACCAAGGCTGGCGCTGGGGTCGGTTGGAGCCGTCCCTTGCACGATGGGCGGAGGCGGCGGGCTACCACATCTAGAATCCAATGGAGATCACGTCGTCTTGGCAAAGGGCTGTTCCAATAATTCAGGAGGCGCAAAGTCCGGGAGGCAAAAGGGGAGCGAGGAATCAGAAGCCTTTGGAGGATCATCTACCGAAAGCCCGTCACAACAGCCAGATCACGAGCGTCGCGACCAGAGGCTAGGTTCGCGCCGTTTGGTTATGGCGTAGTACGCAACTCTCGTATCCAGCAGCTGGGAACGCCACGACCCTTGGAATGGTACTATTTTGCTATTGTTCGCTTCCGACAATCAGAAAGGTCACAAAGGGGTTCTGGGAGGCTTGCCGGTGGGAGCCCTGTGCTGATAGCATTCTAGAGCAAGTTAGTCAAAGGCGACTTGCAATTGGCCCGAGCTGGCTAAAGTCGGGTAGCGCAGAGTACGAAGGAGGTTCCTTGATGCCTTTGTACGAGAAGCTTTCTGGCGTTCTGGAGCGTGAAAGGAGCATTTGCAAGCAAGGGGCCACAATTTCTAGTGCCTAAAAGTGCCTATATTCAGCTTTATTCAACCGGTACTGAGGGCAGCTGAAGGTATCTTTCGATTCCTTCTCACAGCCCTAGCCGCAGTCGCTGTTGGCCCATGATGGCGTCGCGAGATTGGTATGCAAGGGGGGATGCCGTGTGTGAATGGTGGGCAGCATAAGATGCGCATCATTATCCCGGGGATACGGGAGTCTCGGTGAAAAACAGGCGTCAGGAAGGGGATTTCCAAAAGTTGCTTCGCAATAGTCATCGGCTCAGTTCTTGAACAGGATGAGGCCGGTGATGTGATTACCTGAATAGGTACAAGGTCACGCCACGGCGGTGAGGGCAGACTGCTTCTTTGCGGCCGTTGAAGCAAAGTGCGTCGGCCGCGTCGGTACCTGCATGCATGTAATGCTGTCGTAATCGTCCATGGCTGGCAGGTTCCGTAGTCGGGCGATGAGCCTGTTGCTTGTGTGTGGTAGGCGTACTTGGGCCATGGCGGCATGTCGTATGTACTAAGTAGATGGGGCTCCACTCGTCGTGCCTTCCCCCGCGGTACATGCGGTGCCCAAGTAACCAGTGTGGCGATGGAAGTCCATCCCTCAACACAATCGATCCATCTGCAGCCAGCCGGGCATCAAACATCGAACCCCCATCCATGCCTGCGAGTCCAGCTGTGCCGTTCTCACCTCATCCTGTGTGGGTGCACTTCACCTTTCTCATTACTCGGACACATGTGTCAAGCCCCGTGGCTGGCTCCGCTGTGACGGCATCGGCTATGCAGGCCATGCAGGCTGTTCAGCAACCCCGCAGCACCGTTGCCCATACTGGGTGTATAATCAAGCCAGGATACTCTCGTCGCGCTTTGTCGCGGCCGTGCTGGAGATGATACTACACGGCGCCGTGCAGCATGTGCCTGGGCGGGTTTTTCGGCCTTGGTTTCCCCACACGAGAGGATTTGCGTACGTACTCTGGCTGCATGGCCGGCCATGGATGTCAGACTCCCCTGCCCATCCTCGTTCAGTAGACAGTGACGTCACCACTGTAGCCTTATAGCATCCAGAGCATCCATCTGTCAGCCAACTGCCCTTCTTGCGGGCCCCAATGCTGCTTGCTCTGCAATCTGCTGAGGCGGGGTTCCTGGTGATGACGGGAACATCCTTCCTACGCCATAAGCGCTTTTGGCGTACCGCTGCAGAGCGTGAGAGGCATCGCCGTCTTGATTTGCTGTCCTGTGGCGGGTGACATGAACCACAGCCACTAGTCAGGTTAAACTTGTCCGGGCAACGCCTTGGTCATGTAGTATCGACATGTTTGAAATGCACATCTACCGGGCCTAAGTTACCGTCAGCTACCGCATAGCATAAGCTTCTAGGTACCCACATTACGTACTTTTCTCCTACCTACTATAAGTACTACGCAGCATCCAGCTCTTTTCGAAACCAACAAGACTGCTCGTCTTGAGCCAACACTTGCACCGAAACAAACTGACCCAAAGATTTGCAACAACATGGCCGCCGAAATCATCGACATACGTGTTGATAAAGCCGAATCCGATATCCTTGCCGATATCAAAAAGGGCCTTCGGCCGGCCGCCGGTGCCGAGAAGACTTTGCCCACGTTGCTGCTCTACGAGTAAGCAGGCACGCATCAAGCTAAAGGTGATTGCTAATCTCCTCCCCATCTCCACAGCCAGGAAGGACTTCGTCTATTCGAACAAATCACATACCAGGAAGAGTGAGGAACTCCATCCACTAGGGGCTTGGCTGGCAGGCTGACAAACATCCTTCGCATCAGGTACTACCTGACTAATGCCGAAATTGAAGTGCTTGAGACGTATGCAGATAAAATAGCCCAACGCATTTCCCCAGGCTCAATCGTGGTGGAATTGGGGAGCGGGTAGGATCTCGGCTCCCACCATAAAGGAGATTGGAAACGAGCCTCGTGCTTCGTAAGTACTAATATCACTACAGTAATCTGAGAAAAGTCAACATACTGTTGCAGGCCATTGATCGTCTGGGCAAAGACATCGAGTACTACGCCGTCGACTTGTCCCTACCTGAGCTGGAAAGAACATTCGAACAGATACCCATAGGTAAGTGAGCGCAATTCGACACGGCGTTGTTGAACAAGTTGCACACATAAGCGCCTTTATCTGCTCTGGTCTAAAGGTAGAAAAAATGCGTTGGCGACCGTCATCGGGCTTCGCCTGGGGTCTGCATAGGTATAACGCAACAAACCCCGCGCTAGTCTACCATCGTACCTATCTATCGCACAGCCGGCATGGCAATGCCACATGACTCCTTGATTACGAAGGCTTGCTGACCACCTGCGTAGTGGGGTATAGCCATGTCAAATGCTTCGGACTCCACGGAACGTACGATGACGCTCTCGAGTGGCTCAAGTCTCCCGCTGTCGAAGCCAAACCCAAGACAATCCTTTGGCTAGGCTCCAGTTTGGGCAACTTCAAGCGTCATGAAGTCCCGCCGTTCCTTGCCGGATTCGGCAAAGTCTTACAAACTGGTGATGCCATGCTTATCGGTATCGATTCCTGCAAAGATCCCAAAGTATATTGCCTCCCACGAATTGTACGCAAGATAAACACTGACCTTCGACCTACGCTAGCGCGTGTTCCATGCATACAACGACCGCGACGGTGTTACCCACAGATTCATACTCAACGGACTCAAGCACGCAAACGCTCTCATGGGGGAAAACGCTTTTAACTTGGACGACTGGCAAGTCATTGGCGAGTATGATATAAAGGCTGGGAGGCATCATGCTTTTGTAGCACCGCGTAAAGACGTCGTCATCGATGGAGTACCAATCAAGCAGGGTGAGAGAATCAGAATCGAGGAGAGCTACAAATACAGCCGCGAAGAAGCTACGAAGCTCTGGGAGCTCGCCAAATTTGCTGAGAACGCGGTGTGGGCTAATTCAAAGGGTGATTACGGTGAGTATGCACTGAAGATGATGGAGTGATGACGCATATCTGATAGTCTTAGGTCTTCATATGGTCTCCAAGCCCTCGTTCTTTTTCCCCACCATGCCAGAAGAGTATGCAGCAAGGCCCGTGCCTTCTCTTACTGAGTGGCAGGAACTCTGGAAAGCCTGGGATGCTGTTTCGAAACAAATGATCCCAAAAAGCGAGCTGCTTGCCAAGCCTATCCAACTCCGAAATGAGTGTATCTTCTATCTCGGCCATATTCCTACGTTTCTCGACATTCACATTGCCCGTGCCACTGGTGGAAAGCCCACAGAACCCGCCTATTTCTGGAAGATCTTTGAGCGTGGTGTAGATCCTGATGTTGATGACCCAACCTTATGCCATGCCCACTCCGAAGTCCCGGAAGAGTGGCCACCATTGGATACGATTTTGCAATACCAACAGACTATTCGTAAAAATGTTGAAGCGCTCTACGATTCTGGAGAAGCAGAGAACAACGGTCGTGTTTCACGGGGATTGTGGATAGCCTTCGAGCATGAAGCAATGCATCTGGAGACCTTGCTCTATATGCTTATTCAAAGTGACAAGGTCTTGCCACCTCCAGGAATCAAACGACCGGATTTTGTTGCTTTTGCCGCACAGTCAGAAGTTATGGCTGTTGAGAATGAATGGTTCACGGTCCCAGAGTCTGACGTAGACATCGGACTCAATGACCCAGAGAAGGATTTTGGAAGCAAACGATACTTTGGCTGGGACAATGAGAGACCCCGTCGATCAGTACACGTGAAGTCCTTCCGTGCCAAGGCCCGGCCTATTACAAATGGAGAATATGCCACATACCTGCTCCAGACAGGCAAGAAAGGTGCGTACCATTCGTACACAATATGTCGATGCTGTTTCAGTAGTTCCAGGATCATTTGCATCGTAACACGACTGCACCTTGCTGACTTGGATTGACTAGGAATACCCGCATCTTGGTGCGACAAGGCTGATTCCAACGGCGACGACACAAACGCCACGAAGAGAGACAGTGTTGTCAATGGCTACTCGAATGGCAATGGTGAATCCTCGCAGGGTATGGTTGAAGGAAAATTCGTGCGTACAGTATACGGAACTATCCCATTGAAGTTGGCCATGGGCTGGCCTGTTATCGCATCCTATGATGAGCTTGCTGGGTGCGCGCAATGGATGGGTGGTCGCATCCCCACCATGGAAGAGGCACGAAGTATCTACGCTTATGTCGACAGCATCAAGCCAGAGTTTGAGCAGTCGCTCGGCAACACGATACCAGCAGTCAACGGGTACGTTTTTGAGAGCCAGTCAGGCAGAGTCAGATGTCTAACACAGCACAGCCACCTGCTTAACGAAGGCGTGTTTGAGACACCGCCATCACACCATTTGTCCAATGGCAACTCCGGCGCAGCAACAAGTCTTAAGCCACGCGATCTCTTCATCGACCTTGAGGGGACCAATGTGGGTTTCAAACACTGGCATCCAGTCTCGGTGGCCGAAAAGGGCGACAAGCTCTGTGGGCAATCCGATCTGGGCGGTGTTTGGGAGTGGACTAGTACTGTGCTGGAGAAGCATGATGGCTTTGAGCCGATGGAGCTTTATCCAGGTTACACAGGTATGGGGAACTTCTACGGGTTTCTATCGCTCGGCTTATATGCAACATCATATCGCTGACAGTAAGCAGCCGACTTCTTCGACGGCAAACACAACATAACTCTGGGTGGATCCTGGGCAACGCATCCGCGCATTGCTGGGCGTAAGACATTGTAAGTACACCAGAGCGCGTGTAGCCAAGACTGTGTCGCTGACTTGTTGAAGCATCAACTGGTACCAGCGTAATTATCCTTATGTCTGGGCCGGGGCCCGTATCGTGACAGATGTGTAGTAGTAGGCTAATAACCATATATGACTTGGATGCGGTTATGACGCCTTGTAGTTTTGCAGCCGGAGGAAGTGGTGGTGAATGGGTGGGAACCATAGCGGCTCACTGCAGCCTTTCACCGCAGCATCAAGGATCTCCCCCGTCACACACGTCTCCTTTCACTTTTTGATGAATTCGCCCGCACGGCTATATAGTTGTTTCGCTATGTCCAGTCACTTCAGCTTCAGTCTACTTGTAACGCTCACGCTCTTTCCATAAATTGTCTAGATCATGTATCATTCGTCCACAGTGAACTACACAGGCACACACCTTCCCAAACGGCTTATACTGAAGCGCGGTTCTTGCCTGGGCCTCTGATGAAACAAGAGTCTCTATACAATCGTCTCAAACGCAGCAACAAGCTCAGGAACCAACAGCTTGTGCATGACACACTACTGAATATTCAACGGGACACCTCTGAGCAGCCTGGACAGCTTCGCATTTGCTATTGCGGTATCACAATGCCGGAAAATCCTTCCCTTTCTCTACGCAAGGACCTGATAACATGCTCATGCCGACATTGAGCCATTAAGACCTTTGACAAATCATGCATCAAGATCTGGGACGTCAAGTAAAGATGCTCGCTCAAACAGTTGATCAGCTCTTCAGTATGACAGAAGGCGTTTTAGAACAGTTAGTACCTGGAAGGCTGCGGGGACGTTTTGGAAATCTCTCAGGCATCAGGGTTTCTCATAGGTCGTGAAACAAATTTTTTGAAAGGTGTTAGAAATACTGCGGGACTATTGGGAGTTTGTGAGTGAGGAAATTGATTTGGGACAGACCTCAAGCTATTGGTCATCCGTTGCAGTCATGCATAGACGCAAACCACGCACGTTTACAAACGATGCGTAAATGTCAGATAAAATAAAACTCAATTGGTTGACAGGAGACAGGAAGACATGAGGGTGTAAAGGACCAACTAGATTCGTGATGTTCATGTCCCACAAGCATCAACTACGGTACGCACACGTCCATATCCATAGTTGAGTGCACTGTGCAGTATACTGCGTTCTATACCGCACTGAACTCAACGATATTTAAGAGCAGCCACGCTACTCTGAACTTTCCGAGCCATTTTTTCACAGCAGAAATCAACACACAGGACAAAATACTACACCTTGTGCTCACCTCAAAGTCCCCACAACACCAAGCAAATCCCACAAAAACACCTTCAAAATGGACACTCCCCTATCAAACCGCAGCATGTCCACCATCACCACAGTCGCCCTGTCGCGCACCCAATCCTACACATACCCCTTAACTCAAGTGTCCAACGGCGCCACTACATCATCATCTCCACCAACCTCTCTACCAAGCAACTCTTTCCTCTCCACAAAACTCACCCGTCGCTCCCGAGCAAAGCAGCACAAACATTTCAACTCCTTACACATCAACATCGAAATGTCAGACCTTACGCTCACCCGTCCCGACAACCAAGCTCTCCCCAACTCCACCGATGTTGGTTACGATGGAGACGACGAAGACAACGGCGCTGAGTGCGTAAACGTCAATCTTTTTCACGCTGGCGCTGTGTACGGTTGATAGTATGGAGATTATACGCCAGGATTCGGAGGAGAAGTGGAAGGGTAACCGGAGTAGGAGTGGCAGCGCAAGTGTGAGTGGGAGTACGAGTACGAGCGTCATGGGTGGGGTTAAGAGGACGGTTGTGAAGATGGGGGTTAGTATGAGGAATGGGTTTAGGGGGTTGGTTAGGAAGTTCACCTTTTGAGAGAAAAAGGGACATGCTCGGTTTTTCGTTGTTTTTCTTCTTCTTCTTCCTCTTCTTCTTCTTCTTCTTCTTGTTGTTGTTGTTGCTGCTGTTTCTTTGAATACGTACAATCATACGAAGAGGGGAGGGGGGAGAAGAGGTCATAGGATCAGATAACGTGTTGTGTATACAAAATAATCACGGTGAATTTTCTTTGCTGTGAAATTAATGTGCACTATTGATATGTAATCCCACATGTCAGGAGCGAAAACCATTGATGCCGCTTCCCCTTCTTCTCTCCGGTAACCTGTTCACCACGTTGTGAATTGTTCGTGCTCACTCGTGCTACATCACTACCTATCTCTCGCATGCCAGGAGCACTTGGACTTGTTCCTGTCTTGTCATCATTGTTCCAAAGAAAACGATTTTTTATATCGTTTCGAGCCTCGTTATTCTGCTGCAAGATCTGAATCACACCTGATGTCTTGATATTGCAGGCGGAAGGAGACACGGCATTGGATGGAGGTAGTGTTGGATGCAAATGTGACTGTGGAAGGTAATACTTCGGATTCGGATAGCCCAGATTGAGTTTGCGGCTTTTGTTCATGGCGGAGCTGCTCGTATCCCCGGGACCTTGAGTATGAAGTGGACAGTATCGGTCTGGCACATCGTGGTCGCAGATTGTCATGCGCACCGTCGAATCTGGCTTACTGTTAGCTTGCCTTTGTGATGAACTATTTGAAGAATCTGAAGTCACATGGGGGGATCCAGACTCTCTAAGAATACGTATTTCATGTTCCAATGAGTTGCGGCAGTTTCGTTCGCTATCATCGAATCGACCACCAGTGACAAAAGATGATGTGTTGGAAAATTACCTTCTCGCATCGGCATTTGAGCCCTCATTTTGTGGTAATCGTTGTACATCGAGTGGAGGGTATCTTGGCGGGTTCAATGCGCTAACGCGGAAAAGGTAAGGACGGTGTATAATCGGATCTCGCTCAAATGACCGGGTTTCTTTCAATATCTTCTCCCGGAGATCTGAATTGAAGTCTTGGCTACTCAGCTGTTTCTTGAGCTCGCCAATTGATGGCGCTGTTCTGCCACTGAAGCACACAAGAAATTTTTCAGCGTGAGTTTCTGGTCCAAACTGCGAGCGGAGGTGCTGGAAGGCTTGGAGAAGATGGATATCTGCGCAAGTACCTCGCTGATAACTCCATTTCCCTTCGATGATTGTGGTGTGGAAAGCGCTCATAACCGAGATCAGCACATTTTGAAGCGTTGGGAGTCTGAGACGAGCTGCGAGTGCCCATGCTTGCGCGAAGATAAGAAGAAAGTTGGGATCGGTAGCGTGGCTTCTAAAGAGCGAAAGAGATTCATCGCCATCCAGGTAGGCGAGTACATTGCAGAAGGACTGGGGCTCTACGTTCGGTAGGACAACGCCGGGCGCCAAAGCACCAAGTTTTAGACAGCGTTCACGCATGCAATGGTTGAGTTTGATATACGTAAGATCATTGGGACAAGTACCAACTGCGATGGTGATGCTGCTCCATATGGGTCTGTTAGGCATGGCGCAATTGTCCGTGAGTTGTCATGCAATGAAGTGAGATGCATCTCTTTATCAACCTTGAAAATCTCTTAGGTCTGAGTATTGAGTAGTTTGTGTCTTGAACCGCCTCTGTCTTGAGTTTGCAATATAGGCAAACCTAGTCTTGCATTTGACTATAGTTTATCTTGGGTTTTGTTCTTTGTTGACCTGCGGATGTTGTACTGAGATAAGCAGAATTTGTGATTTTCTAATGTACAGTGGTATATCGATGTTTTGCAAAACAAGGGGGTGATGTGCAAAGTATCTGAAAATACAAACACAGTGTTTGAGACAATGCAAACTCAGGACCGTTGTTGTAATTGACGCTTCCAATATCGCACAAGTGGCTTCCAGATGTTTGTTTTCCCATCGAGCTGAGAATACGCCACGCCCAGAAGCCCACCTGCAAAATGAGCCTAGTGATGTCAATGGCTTTGTTCATAAGGGAACGAGCGAAAAACTTACTGCATGTCCAAAATTGACAAAGCTGTATCCGCGAATCATACCGATAAAATCAAAAAGCATAATGGCAGGCAGCACATGTTGAGCCTCAAAATGCACAGGTACAAACAAAATTCCCAGTCCAGCGTGTGGGTACTGCATGCAGAAGATACCGAGGATACCAAAGAGCGCACCCGATGCTCCTCCACAGCGAATGAAAATCTCGGGGATGGGTCGTTTCTGAATGGGTATCAAAGTCGACCAATGCTGCGCGAAACCAGACAGCACACCGGCTGATAAGAAGAAAGACAAGGTATGGTATGGGCTACCCTCGAATAGGCGTGAGTATCCAACTGGTTTCATAAAGTTGTTCAAGAAGTACATGTTTACAAAGAAATGCAACGCTCCAGAATGTACAAACATGGACGTAAACTGGGTGTAATTAACATTGCGGATAGGGAGATGCCAGAGCGTATCCCATGTCTGTGGCATGATAAAGCTGCTCAGGTAAATCCCGCTGTTGGCTCCAATGATTCCATATGTGATTCTTGAGATAGGATCCAAGCTGTTCCACGCTCCAGTAGCAACTTCAGTTGGTGTTGGTGCAGTGCGCCGAGGAAGGGCCCATTGCGGCTTCGGAAGCCATCCTCCAGCAGATATAGACTGGTCTTTGATCTCTCTCTTAGCTTCCAAATAGGAAAGGCCGACAAAGATCCCACTTGATACAAATATGGCCCATATTGCCGGCCGTAGGTATCGAACTTTGATGTGTTTGAGTTGCTCTAGGATCGCATCTTGATCTAGCTCTGGTGCTGGAGAATGATTGCCTTCATCGGTGCGAACTTTGGAGTATTCCTTTACAAGATTCTCTGATATTTCCGGTGTGTTTTGCGGTACGTGTGATTGTTCATTGGAAGGCCTTGGCGCTCTTCTTTGTGGTACACGTTGTGCACGCGTCTCGGAAAAGCTACGCAGCTGATTAGGAAGGCAACGATATTTTGGTAGCGTCGGCGCTCGAGATATGTGGCATGTCAGCCGCAATAGTGGCCTAGCAGATTTAAACGCCGACATGAGACAAGTGAACCAGATGCAGCGCGTGGTGGAGATGTGGGTGTGCTGGTGCGAACTTTCCAACGGCGTCGGCCCGACTAGTAGCGCAAGGTCCGTGCGGCGTCATCACCATTCACAGACAGGCGTTCTACTCCTCCGCCATCGTCCTGACTACTAGACTAGTCGTTATCCATACCATGCTGCATTTCATTCTAGGTTTATTGCATTCACTTATGTATTGACTATCTTTGCACTGATCTAGGACCACTTTTCCATGGATACAAAGTACGCGCCACGAAATTGGAATGTCCAGAATGTGTTCGCCCTGGCTCGCTGAATGTGAACGGGATCGATCTATATTACTGCTTAACATATTTTTGGTATATTCTAAAGCATTACAGCTAGGAATTGAGGATCCAAACTATCTCCGGTAGCAACCTGAAATCAACATTACTCTTTACAGCAACCCGAGTGAATGCATCTGCGCCACCTAAGCCTGTTTGCCAACAGCAGCTGCTGGTGCGGTGTGACTGCTCGAACTGCTAGCATTTGCCTCGTAGTGGTTCTGCTCCATCAAGCTCCAGTCACCGATTTGCTCGTCTCCGAATTGGTCAAGGTCCAGGCCCATCATCTCTGCCTCCGAGGTAACACGAAGGTGCATGCCCGGGATGAACTTGAGTATGTACAAAAGGATGCACGAGACGACGAACGAATAAGATGCGATCGCGACGATCTCAGCGAGCTGACGCCCGACCTGGACGCCGACACCATCCATGGCACCGAGAGCATCGTAAGGGCCCATACCATCGAGATCATAGACCCATGATTGCGCAAAAATACCGGTGAGGAAAGATCCGACCATACCGCCAATTCCATGCAGTTTGAAGACGTCCATGCCCTCGTCGATCTTGATCCACTTGTCGACATTTTGGCAAAGAGAGCAGATGGCACCGGTAAGGAAGCCGATAAGTGCGGCGATCCAGAGAGAGACGTATCCTGCAGCTGGCGTAATTCCTACGAGTCCAGCGATGGCACCTGAACAAGCACCAACAACGGAAAAGTGTCCTTTGGTGCGGACGTACTCCACCATGACCCAGCCAAGCACACCGAAAGAGGCAGCAGTGTTAGTGTTGAAGGCAGCTACCATGGAGCGGACGCTGGCATTGAGCGCACTGCCTCCGTTGAAGCCAAACCATCCAAACCAAATAAAGACGGTACCTATGAAGACTAGTGTGGGGTTATGTGCCTTTCCGTGGATCTTGTCACCCTTGTGGAGACGCTTGCCGAGGACGAAGGCATAAGCGAGTGCAGACCATCCAGATGCGATGTGGACAGGGCCACCTCCGGCGAAGTCAAGGGAAGGGAGATTAAACAACCAGCCGTTTCTATTGAGTTGTTAGCTACGATAGACCTTGTCTGTTGCCGAGTTTAACATACGAGTTCCAGGTCCAGCAAGCAATCGGGCAGTAGACAATGGTCGCCCAGCAAAAGGCAAAGACCATGGATGGTAGAATACGTCCACGCTCAAAAGATCCACCAATAACGAGCTGCACAGTACACGCGCAGAACAATAGTTGATACAAGCCTATGTAACCAGTTAATATATCATGTATAAGCTGACTGGACATAGGTCGCTTACAGAAGACGATCTCTGGCAAGAGTGGTGATCCAGGTGATGGTGCAGACATCACATCTTTGAGACCGAAATTGGCCATGTTTCCAATAAAGGGGCCAGCAGTACGGGAGTAGGCCAATGAATAGCCCCAGAACATCCACTGGAAGGTCACGCTTTACGCTGTCAGCAAGCCTCGCTGCACAGAATGGACTGTCGTTGAACTTACACGCCCATCACAGCAAACGACTGAAAGAGCAATGATAAGGCAGACTTGCGGCGTGCAAGACCAGAGTATAGGAAACCGATTCCTGGTATGATCAGGAAGACTAGGAAGGCCATTATCATCAAATAGACGTAATGGAACTCCAGTCCAGTATACTGGAGGTTGACATTTTCTTGGTCCGGGTTGCCGCCATTGGGCTTCGCCGGGTCAAACTCTGGCTGTCCATCTGTCAGTCGTCCCGTCCACGACTGAAGAAGCCGTTACTGATTCCACTTACAGCTGATGCTGGGTCCATAGTGTAGAGACGTCGAGTTTTGCTGTAAAATTCGAGCCTCAAAACAAATTATGGGACGGGTGATCCAGCGCGCAAAAGAGTACTCAGGATCGTACATATACTTCGGGGCATATCACTCAATGGCTTGCCGCACCCCACAAAGGACCGCGATTGATACGCTGTTAATTCCGGCCCATGTCCTCTTTCCACACCCATACCCGAGGCCGCTGTGCCTCAAGCGTCGAGTGAAATACGGTCTTGGCAAAGATAAGGAAGGCATTCTGAGTCCAATGTCGAAGGAGCGGAGCGCAGTTGGTGGAGCGCAAGGCCTGCGCCGCTGGATTAGGCCTGTGGGATCAAGCCGAGATTGAGGGCAAAGAAGTCAAGCGCGCCGAGGCACGCATCCCAAGTTCCCAAGCCCTGGAAGCGAGTGTTGGCCTAAAACGGGGCGTGTAGAAAGCAGTGGATGCAGGGACCTTTGTGGATGATAAGGCAGGGGATGGAAGCGGTATAGCGGCATGCCCAGACGATAAGCCGTTCGCTATCACGGGCGATTGGGTGGTTGTCCGTGGCCTGACATAAAATTCTGGAATTTTACCTGATGGTGATGAGTAACGTGTCTGAGTGAGAAGATAGGCGTGACTGGTGTATCCGATATCCATAGTTAGGTCTCCCATAGGGTTTTGGGTGTGGTCGGTCGTGGCGGTTGATTCGCTCTTTAATGGTCCGTGTATCCGAACGCCAGGTCCATGCCCCATGTCATGGCGCTGATGCATGCTCCTTGGGGGCCTTGTGTCTGATCATACTGTTGACACGCAACTTGCCGCAATATCGCTATTAACCGGCAAGCCTTGAAGCATGGAAGGCCAGGGTTTTGTGGCAAGACATTGAGTGCCTGCCACCAGCACGTTCGATGATGAGCTGCACCGTGAGATTTCGAGACATATTAAGCAACCACCCTACTGCAATATGCTCCAAACAAGCAGGTAGTGACGGGAACCTTGCAGAAGATGTCTTGATTTCCGACTGCCGCAATATCCAATGCGATGAAAGTCGCTCCGCATAGTGCTCCGTGCCAGTAATTCATCTTATGCTGATCCTACGTTCGAAGAGTCCAAGATAGCCCTTGGATTCCCGCGTATACCCTGTATTTGTATCTAAGAGCTCTGGCTTTATGAAGGTGTCACGTCTCCTTTGTGGTATGTGGCACTAAGGATTATTGCCTACAGCATTAACGTAGAACCAGATCCAATTTTGCGAAGCCTGTGTCATCTGCCTTTGCATGCTCCTGAATGTCGCGCGATGTTGTGCCTTTTTTGCATGCGCATATTGTGCAGTTTGGTGCCGCAGAATAACTTACTTTGCGCCATGCCAATGCATGCAGCATCTCAAAGTAGCTAGGATGCTTGAGCAAAGCCACTATGGAGCGCTCTGCCATAAGGTAACATACTAGACTCTTTGGGCTTGCGTCACATGTAAAACCAACGGCTCGGTAGATTAATTTTTGTTAAAAACGACTAACACTCTCTGCAATGCAGTACTTGCTAAATGACCGTACATTGTAAGGTAGCATTTGTTGCCCACTACCCTCAGCGAACAAGGCAGGTTCGAATACTTTCCACAGCAGAACGTACCCGCTGTTGAGATCAAAGCAACGATTCAATGACCGAAAGAAGTGACCAGGATGGCAAGGAAACGCGTTCTAATGAACGTAGGATTGTTTTGATGTTGTATTCAGTATATGAGAGACCGAGATCGAGCTTTTCCATTGACTATCTGTTTTCCTTTGACCAAACCCTATCTTAATGTATTGAAGTCGGACTTCACGCTCCGAAAAGACTACGCGATTCTCCCTGTAATCAATACCATGTAAATTCATAATGGAAGAATGCTTCTCAACCTTTCCATCAACTAACAACTCTCACATCCTACGGCTTTTTCTTGACTCCTAGGGTGAGTTTCCACTCCGACTCACCATCTCGATCAGCGAGCTTTCCATATACCCCAATATTCTCCACACTCATGTTTTTGTTTCTTTTGTTGATTTTCGACGTCATTTGAGTATGAGCCACTTTAGCCGCCGAAGGTATGTCTTGGATTGCTCTGAGGACGTTCATCCTCATTTTTTTAGCGGTGGATTTCAGACTCTTTTTGTACTTGGCGGCGGGTATATGTGTTCTTGGTAATTTATGGCTATTTTTTGTGGTGCCAGATAAAGGATTGGGGTCGAGCGCCGCGTATCGTGGAGGAGAGACATAACTTTTCTCGTCATCGGGGTGGCATGTGACCTGGAGGAACTGATCCTGAAGAGACTCTGAATGGGAATGATAGTGGATGGGCAGAACAATCGGGTTGACCCCATGAGCATCATAGGCTATTGCGCCTGCCTTGGTGTGTTTTGTGCTGCTTGCATGCCTCGGATCTCTAGAGAAAGGTTCGATGAGAGGCCGGTCTGGAGTGGGCGAATGGGCAGCACGATGCCATGATGATGCCGAAGACTGCTTGGTTGCTTTTGATGGCTTCATAGCGCCCAAAAATCGGCGTACTGATGTTTGCGTATCGCGTTTGCAAATCGAGTTTTCACTCTGACTTGGGGGTGGGATTTGGTTAGGGTCAGTCCTCCATCTTGGGGCTGTTTCGCGACTGCAACTTGTTCGCGAAGGTGCTTCTTGGTCACACTTTGAAGACACAGGAATATACAGAGGCACACATCTTAGCAAGGGAAATGTGCCTACCGGCATCATGTAGTAGGCCATGATGAGTCCGTAGCTTAGTCGGCCGGATCTTGGTGAAGAGGAGCAACGAAATGCGACAAGAACATGAAAAAAAAGGATGATAATGAAGGGAAGGAGGAAGAGGAAGAAATGCCAGCGTTGCTTCATGTTGCATGTCTTGGTTGCAAGGAGAAATGGCACTACTTATTGCTTCATCGGAGCGGCTGATGCGGTGTGGTTCTGGTCGAGCACCGTGGCCCTGGCACCATTTCCGTGGCGTTCTGCGCATTGCCATTCTGCAGTTTACTCGTCGTATGCTCAGGTTCGAGAGCGTTATTGAATCTGTTGAATTAGTGGAAGTGGTGATTGGTGGCTGTTCCTTGATGCATGAATAACGCACACGTATAAGAGGCTGTACGCAGATTGAGGACGTGGTGCTGGGAAGAGGCGTCCGAGGAGTTTACTGCTCTCGTTCTTCGAGACATGTTAACACTAAGCCGATCTTTTCCTGGATAGGATCGCCGATCTGACGGCTGTGGTGATGGTGGTGGTGGTACCAGTGTTTTGCAGGCATAACCAGGTTCGGGCTACTATGCCGAGGCGCGTTTCTGGCGCGTTGTTGATACGTAGTAGTTTCTTTTTTGCAGCAGCAGCAGCGTGGACAGCCGAGATGGGGTAGAGCACACATGTAGATACTTCACACGTGCATACATAGATAGCAGACGTGCAGTCTTGCATCTGACGAGCGCAACCATGGTAATCCACAGTAGTATGGAGATGCAAGGTCAGCTTGGCTGGATTGGGGGTCGCGTGACGCAAGACGGAATTCCCAGTGACGTAGGTCTGTGCCAAACATCAAACAGTCCAGCCCCCCGCTCCATGCTTCCTTCAAATACAGCCCAGGCAGCAGTTGGTTTTTACGGCTTCATTCTTACTTGCATACTACGCTCATACACCTTTACACTCTGCACTGCTCCCACTCATATTCAACGCCAACTTCAATACCGCAAACATGTTCAACATTGTGCTCTCCCTACTTCTCCAGCTCTCCATGTTCATGCTGGCTGAAGCAGCTCCTCTTACAGTGCAGAAAGCCGAGCCATGGCAAGCGGGTACCGGAGGAGGCATTGTTGGATTCATTGTTCTTGTTCTCGACATCATCGCATGGAGTAAGTATCCTTCACTGGTCTCGAGCCGCGTTGTTTTACCTACTCGGGAAATAGACCCATCTGACTGCCACAATCGTGCTGACTCGTCCGTGCTACAGTTGAGATCTTCAAGTCGAACCGCCCCGTGCCCAACAAGGTCATCTGGGCTCTCGTCGTGTTCCTCTTTCCTGTTGTCGGCATGATCATCTACTACCTCTTCTCGAACCGCCAAGCCCACAACACCTACGAGCCTATTCCCGCATAGACCACTCAAAGGCCCCATTTGTCCTAGCATTCACTGCGCAACGCAACGCAAAAGCCGGATGTGATGACGACATGTGGTTTTGGGCATTGCAGCCTGGAGTAGTAATCACGCAGAAATTATGAGTGATGGTTGGGTGTTAGGCGTTCTATCATGGACCTGTGGTGGGCAATGGCGATAGGGACACTGTTCATCATTGATATCCGGCCTATTTACAAGTTTCCTTTCTTATCTCGTTGACTATTGACGCAATAACCAATCTATTCCAACGCAACTTCAATGTGTTACATCCCCATCGTCCCTCTTTTACTTGCTTGCTTCTCCCCAGTCACGGCTCCCCTCCCCTCCCCACCCCCCCAAAATGGGCCAGCACATCTCTTCCGTGGTATTTCTGAGAGCCCCCGGTTTACAGCTTCTATTCAGACTTCGTCCAGAATTCCTCTCCTAGTGACGAGCCTACTACTCAACGTCAGGATACCATCACTTAGGCTGATAGTGCCACTGGAAATCAAGACTTGTTCAAAACCTCGGTATTTGTCGACCTGGGCGCCGTTGACGGGCAGACCAAACGAGATAGCAAACCCGGTGGTACTAGTGCCCATGCTCATATACATGCCGGTAATTCGACGATTCTTGGTACAGATCGAGATAGCCGCAGTTTCAGCCGAGATATCGTCCCCGAGACGAAACTAAAGAAGACAAAAAGGCAATGATATTTGCGTTTGTATGCGACTCATTGAAACAAAACACGACGATCTCCGTCGAAATGTCGGCAAAAGCAAACATGTTGAGTAGGCCCAGTTTGTCAGCCAGTATCAGGAGATGATATGTCCAAAGGTTGATGACCCATTGGTCACGGCGACGAAATGGGATGTTTGCAATGAATCTGTTCCTCTTCTGACGGTATAAACAAGTGTGTGGAAGAGGGGCGTCTACATACCGTGGAATTTCACGTACAATGGAACATCTAGGGGTCCCTTGCAGAGTAATCAACACTGCATTTGTTAGTTTACTACACCGAAATGTCCATGCTACATGATACTATTTAATAGTTATTTTTGCCCTCTTTAGCTATTCTTTTATTCATGTTATCATAGCTTCCTACTACAGAGTTATAAACCATTACAGAATTTTTTTCATATACTTAAACTGTGTTATCTTATATACTTGTCACATGTTAAGAAAACAAGCGAAAAGAAGAGAGAAGAGCTTGTCTTCTTTTAGTAGTAAAATACCAGTGAGTCAAGACTAGTAGTTTCTTCGAAGCTAATTATAAAATGTCCGTAATACACCTAGTCGTGATCCCATCATGTTCCATTGCATGTGTCAGTAGGCGGTACCCATCATCCACAATAATAGCGCTGCTACGAGCAATACGTACTTCTTCAACCGAAGACCCGAAATCACAATTTCAGGAGCTACAGCACGTCGTTTATCGAAGTAATGTCGCATGACGAAGGCGAGAAATTACAGAAAAGCGATGCTGCTGCCCATAAGGATGGATCGCACGAGAATGAATTGATAGTACTTGTCATAGAGATCGACCTTCAGAAGACTAAGAACATGGGCAAAAGCTACTGATCGATGCATATGTCATATTCGGAAGCATGAGACTCGTTATTCGTTCACTTTTTTGTATCCTTGCTCCTTGCTATTTACAAGAAAATTCGAGCTCACTTAGCCAGGCTCCAGACCGGTCAAACAGTGGTCCAGCTGCTTTACCGCCTTCAAACCTTGTCAAGTTTCCCAAGCTGCTTATGCATGCAGTCTCTTTGTGGGTATGGTGCTACTATGTCGGAGATAAGAAAGTCGGCCGTGATGCGATTGGCCAATATCCCCGAGCTTGCGAAAGTCTACTAGGTATGACCGAGCGATCATAAGTAGCTATCACCGCTTTCACTTCCGTTTCCGTGACTCCGCTTGAGCCTCCATCCTCTTCAAAAATATCCAGACACTCCATACTGCAATTAGAAGTTTTGCGAAAGATATGGCTGAGGGCCCTCGCTCACGTAAAAGACCCACTGTGTAGGTCGCGCTTGTGTCTTGGCGGCTACAACCGGCGCTAACCATATTCAGCTCCTGCGTCCTCTGTCGCAGAAGAAAGATACGGTGTAACAGAGAGATGCCATGCAGCAACTGTATGAGGTCAAAGACAGGATCTTGTGTATACGAGACCCAATTGTCTCTGGATCAGAGGTTGGAAAAAAGAGCACTGGCATGCAATCAACCACAGCGCGATTTACCAGAACCAATCGTTGGCCCCACCATGCCTTCGAGAGTCTCGACTACAAATAACTTATCCTCCAGGGATCAACCTACAGACGGCAGCAACTACGCTGCGTTTGAGCTGGAAGCCATGCGGACTCGCATCACTGAACTGGAAGATAAACTGTCTCGTGCTAGTAGTAGTGTTACCCACTCGCCGTTCTCGGACTCTGCTTCTACCCCGGCTTCGACACATTCTGTGCGGACTGTCAGCTACCTGGCGACAACTGTAGATGTTCTTGAAGATACCCGGTCACCTAACGGCATTTCTATTTCTCGGGGTGTCGCACATAAAAATCGTGTATTTGGGCAAAGCCATTGGATGAACGGTTTCATCATGGTGCACATCCCATGCTTCACATCAAAGCGTACTCGATTACTGACAATGTGCGTAGTTTCGCCAAATGATTGAGATGATTGAACCGCATCTTCGAACCGGATCCATGAACTGTATTGCTGACATACAACGGGCCAAAAAGCTTGCCCGTATTATCAAAGCGAGTCGCTCTCCAGCCTGGCCTACACAGCCGTGCAGAGACTTGCCGCCCAAGCCACTTTGCGACCAACTTGTTGCCGCATACCTTCGTACCACCGAGACATTATATCGGGTCTTACACGTGCCAAGCTTTCAGCGTGCATACGAAGACATGTGGAACAATGACACAGTTCCTAGCATGTCCTTTGTAGTAATGGTCAAGCTGGTTTTAGCAATCGGCGCCACCTTTTACGACGACAACATGCCATTGCGGGCCGAAGCGACACGTTGGGTGTACGAAGCACAAACATGGCTGTCATCGCCCTCATTCAAGTCGCAGCTTGGCATTCAGTACCTGCAAAACAGCATCCTCTTGCTCCTTGCACGCGAACTTGTTGGCGTAGGCGAGGCTTTTGTGTGGATTTCGCTGGGCTCCGTGTATCGTACGGCGGTCTATATTGGACTGCACAAGGATCCGTCACAGCTTCCTGCAATGACCACATTGGAGGCAGAGATGCGCCGGCGGATGTGGAATACGGTACTTGAGTTATCGTTGCAGATGAGCATGATGTCTGGTGGGCCGCCGCTAATTTCCCAAGAGGAATACAATACTGCGCCGCCGGGGAATTTCGACGATGAGGACCTTTTGAGGGCGGATCCCGTCGCCGCGCACGACCGAGACTTTACGCAAACATCGGTGGCTATTGCTCTTCGGAAAACACTGCCGGTTCGACTTGCGATACTCAAATTTTTGAACGATATCGCTTCAAGTGGGACGTACGAAGAGACATTGCACATTGATGGAATGCTCAGAAGTGCGTCCAAGAGCTTGCGCCGCACACTGCACAGCTACAGTGCTGGCGCCCGTTCGCCGTCACAATTCACACTGCAAGCAGTCGAGTTTATTATGCAGCGCTACACGACCTGCCTCCATTTCCCCTTCTTCGCCTCTGGGCTCAAAGATCCAAGGTTCGCTTACTCACGAAAAGCGACGGTGGAATCGTCGCTCAAGATTTGTAATATAGCGCATCCGGTATGGACGGAAAGTGTTTGCTCGGTAGACGAGATGGATGTAGATCGTCTATGTCGGTGCGGCTCGGGCTTCTTCCGGGAATATGCCTTCTTTGCTTCGTTGTTCCTGACGAAAGAGTGGACCGTGCGAGTGCAGGACGATGAAGAGGACGAAGACATGATGTCGAGCCGGCTGAAGGTCGTGGTTGAACAGGCTGCGTCTTGGGCTTTAGACGCCAACCAAGCTGGCGAAACCGGGGTCAAGGGCTATCTTGTGCTGTGTCTCCACAAGGCATGGATCGACGCGACAAAACGTCGGGCCAACCGGCCAGATTTCCCACTGCTCTTGGTAGAAGCCTTGCGACGGGCCCTCGACGTGTGCGTCCCGCTGCTGGAGACGATAGCAAGCACCCAGGTGCATGGTTTGAGTGCTCATGGCGCCAACGGGCTAGAGGGGGTAGAAAAGGGCGACTTTGAATTTCCAGCCGAGGACTGGGACACGGTGATGTGGGAAACGTTCAACATGGAGGATATCGGGAGCTTTGACGCGTTCATGCCATGAAGTAGTAAGGACTTGGGGGTATGGGTCAGGCAGGCGTGGTGTGGTGTGGTCTCGTGACATGACAGCGGCTGTCATGGTTCCGAGGGGGCTAAGACGCAGCAGCATGACACGCGCCCCTGGTCAATTCCCACCCCCCAGCCGCCCGTCCATCCAACCGCCCGTAGCCATCGCGCCGCGCTCCATTCCATTAGCCACGGCGCCACGAGCAATTGAACCCTTCTGCCAGCGCTTCGCACAACAATTGGTGCAGACTCGAACTCTAAACAATGTCACGCTCACGCTGCTCACCACGTCATCCACGTGCCTAGACACACTAGTCGCGCCCAGCCAGGCACACTTGATCATAATCCTCCGAGCATCCTGACACACAAAGAGCCTCATGCACCCGCCCACATCCGGCGCTCTACGTCGCAGTGCTGTCAGAACAACCACACATCATAGCCATTGTCGCCTCATAAATCACGTCCAAGTGGCCTGATTTTTCTTCCTTTCTTCGCTTCTCCCCTTGTCGTGTTTCTTGGTATACCTCAGGCAGCGGAACCAAAACCTCATCCAACCACTACTCTTCTTCTTTCTTTTGCCTCTATTCACTTCTACGAGGCGTGCCGGTCACATTTTTGCCATTACTATTTTCATAATACCCGACTTCCCTTCATTCACTACCGACAATCGTTTCTTCGCCGACCTCGCCACCACACATTGTCAAACAACTTGATAAAGAAGAAGAAAAAAACCCAGCAACAACAACAGCGCCATCATGTACACTTCACTTTTTGCGCCGCTTTTTCTTCTCCTGTCCATCTTGCACTTGGCAGCTGCCGATCCCTCGGCAAGAAATGTCATCATTCCTGGTCGTCTGAACAATGACCTGGACACCCGCCAAGTCTCCGTCACTCCTTCCCAACAAGAACTCTGCCTCGACTATGAGCGCACAGCAAACCTATCCACTGCCGGCGCAAATGGATCATACCGTACCGTTGTAATGCAAAAGGCAAACGTAGGCACTCTGACCAGTGCCGGCTTGATGAACGCAGCTATGGCCAAGTTGCCCGCCCTCACCGCCGACAAGGACTTGAACGCCCGCTGTGGAAACTGGACTGAGATTGCGTTGGTCGAGGCTGAGAAAAACTTTACCAAGGGCATTGTTCTGCAGTTCACTACCGAGGGCTTGCCTGTTGGCATCAAGAACGGCCCTGAAGTGATAGTCATTACAGCTGTGATTTGTGTCGTCCTCTGTGTCGTCTGGGTCTTCGCAGAGTAAACTAGGCACACACTGAGAGAGATATTCTGGAGAGTGGGGGAGTCAATATTTTTTGGATCAAGATGGTTGAGTTGTGAGGAAACATGGTGTGTAGCCATCGCGCCAATGTTACTATCGTAGGAGAGACCGAGTCAAGAATACCCGATCGTGCAATGTTTAAATTATGGTGATTTGATCAAATTATTCTTCAATTTCTTCCTGCGTCTTCTTGATGTTTTGATTGCCATTCGTGTGTATGGAATGTCTTTCATCTTCGATGTTGGTAACTTGTAAATGCATCATCACCATGCGACACTGTATCTGCTCGCAAGCACACCCGGCTTGAAGTAGTATGGGACGAACATATTTGTACCAGCGCGCTAATGTCGCACGGATGGTGAGGATTTGAAAACTATACTAGAGAAAAATATTGTATGTACAAATCAACAACGTCGCACTGCCATCAGATCCAACTCATGTCCTGAAAATTGGTGCACATCCCCCAAACTCTTCATGACACGCTCCAATAGCTTAGAAGGTGACAACACCGACACCAGCGCTCTTGGCCACGATGCTGCAGACACTGGCCGCAGGGTCAACAGTGTACTTGTAGGTGGGCGTGAAAGAGCCCTGCTTGGTAATCTGGGTAGGGCTGTTGCTGAAAACATTGTTCTTCTCCGTCGCAAAGCCCTCCTCGTCAGAGTCGAGGTTGGTAACGACCGACTTGGCGACGTTGGTGAAGGAGTTGGATTCAACGAGCACTTGAGCGCCCATGCGCGAGTTGATGCCGGAAACACCGCCGTTGAAACACGAGTTGTAGATGTGGCCTGTGCCGAAGCGGATGGACGGCAGACGCGAGTTGACTGCGGTGAAGGAGTTGTGGTGGTAAGTCACGCGCAGCTTGCCCTTGTCTACTGATCCGTTGTTGTCGGAGTGGCCGACCAGGGAACCCTTCCACTATCGGGTGTGTCAGTATTACTTATACTGATATCCGTTCGTTTGTTTTTTCATAGCAAAGAAGAACTTACGTGGTCGTGGAACTTGTTCCATGAGAAGGTCAAATAGTCGGATCCAGACTTTGCGTCCAAGAGACCATCGTACTTGTCCTTGTCTCCCGTGATACCAACGCTGGAGAAGTCGTTGTGGTCAATCCAGACCTTGGTGGTGGCCTCAATGTCGATGAGGTCCTTGCCCTCGGGTGCACGGTAGAACTTCAGGTTACGGACAATGACGTTGGAAGTCTTGTAGAAGCGGAAACCACCGTCAGTGATTCCGGCGTCCTTGCCTACACCGAGGATGGAGGTGCCGGGGACATCGAAGCGGACAATGCCGCAGCCGGTGAGCGTGCCCTTGATCTTGATGACACCTCCGACTTTGGCGGCAGCAGTCAGGCCGGCGCAGTTGGTGACAGTGGTACCGGTTCCGCTTCCTCCTCCTGTGGTGCCAGCACCAAAACCAACAAGCTCGTCAACGGCGGCAGCACGCTTCTCCATGGGGGCGCCATAGGCGGTAGAAGCAGCTGTCAAAGCCACAGTGGCAGCCTCGAAGAAACGCATGTTGATGTCTTTGCGGGTAATAGACTAAAAGTGAACAAACAAGAATAGTCAGGGTATAAAAAGATCGACTTGCGAATAAAGATTTAGATATACACAAGGATCCAGCGGTTATGTCAAATGAACCTACCGGAAATAAAAGAGTAGAGGGCAGCTACACTACAAGTATTCTTATAGAAAACCCATTTAATTTACCAAGACCTATGTCAGTCAAGATTAACAGAGCGGACGCCGTGCAAAATGTGGAGCAGCCATTTGTTCAACGGGGTTCCCCAATGAGCAGTTTCTCCGCAAGCATACGAGTTCAAGCTTGGCTTCTAGGGAAGGACCTTTTGACAGCCGCCAATATCCACCAAGCACGTCAAGCCATGGCGGCCTTGTGTGTATCCACTTGATGGAGTTCTAGAAGCCTAGTGCGATTGGAAACCTGGGGTATGTGTCCAGGGGTAATAGGGGGGCGTTCCCTTTCAAAAGCCGACGGTTCTCAATAGGTACGTGAGTGGGATGTCGTTTCTGCTAGCTTGTTTCCGAATGATTCCTAGAGTAGAAAGGTAATCTAGTAGTCACAGATGTTGCCAATTGACTATGCTATTAAGAAATCTTGGCTTGCGCCTTGACGGCAAAAGAACCACCAATGGGAAAAACTCGGAAATGAAGATCGCCCATTCCAGACCTGTGGACGAGATGGGGGCGGTCACCATTTGGAACATTTGGGCAACGACGAGCATTGAATGGAATAATGTTGGGGGTTGGGGAACAATGGAATGTGGTAGTACAACACGTGTACTGCATTTCTGTGGTGGGAAACATGGAGAAATTACAAGTTAGTGTAACACGAGGGGCGGCGCTTTGTAAACGCTTCGGTTACCGCATTCGTATCTCAGACAATTTATGTACGTATTAGCGTGGAACATTACAACCATAGTTCA